CAATACAGTGGAAGATTTGGTGCGAGTTGATAACTGACCAGAGAAGAATCATGGCAAAGGATCTAGGGTAATTGGGAATTTTGATTTGGGTAATTGAGTAGATGTATTGACTGAGAAAGGAATACTGGAGAATTATGTTGGGAGGATTGGATAGGAAGGATGAACTCAATTTTGGTAAAGATTTTAAGGTAGTTGAATATTTTCCAAGTGGCGATAACCTACCTAATAAAGCGGGAATATGCTAATTGACCCTCATGCCATCGCAAAGATAGCGGCGCCCATAGCCAATAAGGAGGGAATTTGCGAATTGACTGCCACGCCCTCAAAAATGGCAGTGCCCACAGCCAATAAGGAGGGAATATGCTAATTGACTGCCATGCCCTCAAAGATGGCGGTGCCCACAGCCACAAGATGGCCGACAAGGGAGGGCAGTTATGGGTGATCAGGCCAGCAGGGGAGGGCAGTTTGGGGCGACCGGGCCAGCAGGGGAGGGCAGTTGGGGAGACTAGGCCAGCAGGGGAGGGAAGTTTGGGGCAGCTGGGCCAGCAGGGGAGGGCAGTTGGGGGCGACCGGGCCGGCAGGGGAGGACAGTTACGGGTGATTGGGCTGGCAGGGGAGCAGTTAGGTGTCGATCAGGCTGGCAGGGGAGTGGTTAGGGGGTGATCAGGCTGGCAGGCAGAAGTGGTTAGGGGCAGTTAGGCAGGCAGGCAGGCAAGCGGTTGGGAGCCAGCAGTCCTGGATTGTGAGAGGGATGTTTGACTGCGGGCAGTTGGACATCCCCCGAGGGGTCCCAGATTGGAGAGGGTGCAGGCTGGGCTGAGGGACACCCCCCCCCCCAGTGCACAAATTTCGTGCACTGGGCCTCTAGTTTGGTATATAATTGGATATGTTGATCTAGAGTTTAGGAGATTAAGGGAATTTATGAATATAGTTATTTGAAGATTTAGAAGAGCTCACCACCCTGAGATTTATAAAATGAAAGGGTAGGAGAAAGTTGTGAGGAACATTATTACTTGAGATGGCATGCCCAAGAAGAGTAATTGAAACTTCGGAAGAGTCTCAAGAATAAAAAGAAGAGTCAACACTGTCACATCACAATTGAAGGCTGAAGAGTGACCTTAGAAAAAGAAGAGGGATCTACAGAGTGGTGGAGGCAGTATTGGACACGGAGTATTGGACAGAGTAAGTATGTACTAGCAGTCACAGTTAAACTTCAAAGGAGGTTGATTCTACAATTGCTGCTTATAAAGGGGCTTTTAAATTTTGCTGCCATTGAAAAGTTTTTCATTATAAAAATGACTAGTATATAGACATTATAGGAACCGCAGGTATAGACAGGAACTATTTGATTTTATTTGGGGTATGCTCTGGTCTGCATGGCCATGCAATGATTTTATTTTGTTTGAATTATGTCACTATTTTGCCAGTTCATAATATAAAATAGTGAACTTGGTGTATCTACTAAAGGCATGACCTTCCTTTTTCTTTCTTATATAACTTGTTCCATCTTTTGTCATGGTCACTGAAGTAAATACTAAGGAAAATACAGTGTGAATGGCTTTGTCCTTAGCCTCACCTTCCTGGAATCACCTTTAGTGAGGGCTTTTCAATGAAGCGAGGGTTTCAGTGTTAACAGCAATATTATCTTAGACCTAGAGGAAATTTAAGGGCCAATTACAGTGACTAAAGAGACTTCCAAGAAATGTTTGTCCCTGGATGTTGTTCTAGGTCTAGGTAGCCGAATAGGAAGGTATGACAGTTTCACAGCTTTTAGTCTTTCCAAGGCAACTGTTTTGGAATATGTAGTGGAACACTGGCAATTTCTATTTGCTCTTGAATTTGTCATCATACTTGTATTTATTGCCCCTGCTAAGGTAATGGGAGCCTTTGGCCTAGGAGACTGTTTTCATGGTTCTATATAAAAGTCTATTTTAACAGTCTATAGAACTAACTGAAAGGCATTATTCTGGAATAGCAGTTACTCTCCTAATTTGGTAAAATTAGTTCGAGTTTAGAAATAAATTGGGAGATTAACATCTTATGTCATATTACACAGTTCTTGCAAACCATTCTGCCTCAACGAAGGACAGCAAAGTGAGTACAGTTGTCATCTATAAATAAAAGATTGGGGATATGTGTACAATGACTATTTCTAACATCTCTTGAATAATCATTTATAGATATGTCTTCCATAATTATGTGGAACTCTGCAAATGGACATCGTTGTGGATAGTTATTTAACACTTTGATGGACTGTTATGCCAGGATAGTAGAATCTTAAGAGTCATCCAACCTGTGATATATGGACTTCCAGCCTTTCTTGGACACTGTCAGAGTCAGGAAGCTCATTCCATTTATGAATATATCAGAAAGTTAAAGAAGACAAACTTATTTTGGGTGTGAGAGAATTTTAATACCAAATTAAATGGAAGGACAAGAACATACTGTAGACACAACTTAAGACAATTTAAAATCATAAACAAAATGTGAGGTAGACTAGTGAAATTCACCAAATTTTGGTTAAGAAAATTTTACAGTAATAAAGTTAACACAGGTGCCTCCTTTTCTAAAAAAAAACAACAACAAAAACATTTGCATAAATTACAGCCAAAAAAAACCTGAATACAACAATTCTAATTTTACTTTACATTCAGTATTAACCTGTGTGAACTGTCATAGTTCAACAGGTCCATAGGTTAATTATTATGGAGGCCTAGAGAACACATTCATACCACAATGTTTCTAAGGAATGGCAAGGCTTGAAGCTGAACACACCAAGGTATGTATTAACAAATCATGGTGTCCTGTGCTTGTGCAATTTTATCCTTAAAGGAGAAGGACCTAACATTCTCTAAAGAATTATACTGTTAAGGTGATTTTAAAAGATTTAAACCTTAGTAAGAAAGACATTGAAAAGAATAGGCAGATCAATTTGAACTATCATTGGGGTGATGGTCTTTTGACTTTATTCTGGTATTTCCTTCCACAGGGTTAAATAGTATTTAAGAGATTATAATCACTTGATTTTTCAGAGTGCAGCCTTAACTAATACAGAGTACCTGCATTTAATTAACTACTTTAAAAATGTTCTTCAGACTATGAAGCCATAAAGCCAGAAGAAAACCTGAGAAGCCATCTGCCCCAGCCAGGTACAACTATTTTAGAATTATTTCAAGTATTTTATTTGCCCTATATAGTAATATAATTGGAATATTGCACAAACAGTGGGTTTCTTGATATCGTCTGCATTAGGCCCTTTCAACCAAACAGGAACATTTGAAATACATTCATATCTAAATCAACCTACTTCAAAACGTACCTTTGCCAAAAATTCTGTTATACTAAAATTAGGGAGTATTTTTAAAGCATACATAAGGCAGATCAGACCCTCTTTTAAGGACAATTAAAAATGGGGTTTAAAAGAATTGTTCATTCAAAATATATTTAAAGCATCTTAAGTAACTATATTAAAACCAAGGATCTGCAAACCATTTTCAGGTTAGTATATTCCATCTTACTAGCTGTAAACTCCTTGTTATCACAAGCTAATAAAACTGGTCAATTAACACTATTTGTTCTAAGTAAATGCAGGCTTAGTAGACCCCCTTTCAGTAGTTTCAGGCCATAAATAAGATAATTCAAGTAAAAATGGCCATGTTAAGTGGGGATAAAGTGGTACATACGGGCTAATGAGAAAAATGTCAAGAAGTTGTGGGATGAGAATTGGAGTAATTTAAGAGTAAACTTCCAATAGATTTAGTTCTAGAACATTTTTTAAAAATCTGTTTTTAATTTTAAAATAATGGCGAGAAATTTATAGAAACTTATGCCTCCTACTATTGATACTGAACAAACCCTTCCCTTGCTGATTTTAATGAGTCAAAGACTTTTTAATGGAATCTTCCTTACTCCTTACAAAAGAATCTACTGAACGACAGTTCTGCCTCTATGAGCTCATTTCCCTTTTCATCAATTTCTGTGTAGTTGTCCGTATAGGCAGATAAAATGTTCATTAAATGTATCTTTTATTTATTCATTTTTATTATTATTAAGGTATTACATATGTGTCCTTATCCCTAAGTGTATCTTTTAAAGGAAGCTTTGCTTGAGTCTCTGAAAAGAAACAAACTAGTTCCACTCCATACAGAGCCATTGCCTGACATGTAACTTTGCTGGTGTCAACTGCTTAATTACAACCAAGCAGGGTGGGCGTGTGGTGACTGCCAAAAGTTCCTTAATTGGCTCAACTACTGAATCAGGTTTCTTCTTATACAAGATTAATCACTGTTCCATATTCTCATAGACATGGTGTGCTTAGAGACTGGAAACATTTTTAAAGAATGGAAAAAGCAAAGTAATTTAAGCAAGGAGAAGCTGCTATATACACAGTGCCTGCTCTGCATTTACTGATTTGTTTGTTCAGTTTAAATAGTAAACTTTAAACTCCTGTGGAAATTTTGCCAAAAGTTTCAATACATATAAGATTATAAATCTTAAACTAACACTGCACAGAGAAAGACAAAGCTACTTCTTTTTTTAAATACAAATATCTTCTACATTCTATCATTTCAGACCCCTGAGTAATACTGTACCAAAGTACAGATCTGAAGAGAAACTGAGGGTTCAGGCCTCAAACGTTAATCTTCAATTAATTCCACACCAATGGTGTCTCACGTAACACATTCAGGCTAGCTAATGCTGAGAGTCAGCTTTACCCCTAACAAGGTGTAGTAGAAAACACAATGCAAACTCCATGTTCGTTCTCCAAAGTATATCCTCCTCAGGCTCCGCGGGCAGACCACGTCTTAAGTAATTGCATAACTGCCTAAGGTGGAGTTAACCTGAATGTAAGGTCCTGAAATGGAACTGAAAGAGAGTAATGCCCCCAAAGATTTGGGGCATTCTTTGGAGAACAGACAAATATGTTGCACTTTGCTCCACAGTGATTGTACTTTAAAGGAAAAAAACCCCAAATAATTGTTTCTGCCCCACTCCCCCTAGGCATCCCTTTGCTATTTTTGGTCTCTTCAAAAGTTCATACATGACGTCCAGTAAGAAAATACAGGGGCTTGTCTTCACTACTGTTAGCAGTTTGAAATTCATCCCGGAGGCGGAACTGCCACTCATCCTCTAGTTCTAAGCGGACAATTGTCTGGCGTAAGGAGCTTCTGTCTTGGCAAATGACACACAGGGTAGCACCTTTGGGGAAAAAAAGAGCAGAAGTGCATTTTAGGCTCAGGAATTGATAAGGAACTTTACCACCTCTCTACAATGTATCCCGTAAGTCAGTGGTTCTCAACCTTCTGGCCCTTAAAATACAGTTCCTCATGTAGTGACCCAACCATGAAATTATTTTCATTGCTACTTCATAACTGTAATGTTGCTACTGTTATGAATTGTAATGTAAATATCTGATATGCAGGATGGTCTTAGGCGACCCCTGTGAAAGGGTCCTATGACTGCCAAAGGGGTCGTGACCCACAGGTTGAGAACCGCTGCCCTAAGTGAACACATCTGAGAACCAACATATTAGGTAAGTAACCCATCATTTAAATTTATTGTTTATTTTGAATAAGTAGTATTACAGATTCAAAAGTCTGAAGGAGTGTAAAGTGAAAAATCTCCCAATTATACCCTCCCTTCCCCCTGTGGTAACCAGTGTTAAAACCAATGCTATAATGTTTCTCATGTGTTACTCTCAAGTAGGATTTCTCAACCTTAGCTCTATAGGACTGGATTATTCTTGGTTGTGGGGCTGCTCAGTTCTTTTGTTTTTTGTGTTTTTTTTTTTAATAGAACATGATTATATTTAATACACAAGTTTGATACAACCAAAAAGTAAAACACCAGAGTAAAATAGTAATAAAAACCATGGTATTTCATTTGCAGTGCATGAGAAATGGTTAACATCTTTAGTTATAAACAGGCTTTTAAAAACCAATAACAGAGACAATATAATGCAAGGAAACTGGAAAAAATAAAATGAAGTAATACAAGTGATGATTAAGCATATACAATGATTTTGCTGAGCAGCGATGAAGAATAATTTCTCTGCAGTATCACAGTGAGCAGAGTAAAGACACTGATACCTAATATTCTTCAGTTTTGAAAAGTGTACAGTTTGAACTCTCAGAAACACTGCGAGGCAGATTAATGAGAAGGATCTATAATTAGGAGAAAAGCTAGTTTTTAATCTACATATAAATTGAGTATTTTTAACCAGAGCAGTTCCAATTAATTGGAATTATTTCAACAAGTTAGTTGAATAAATTCAGTAGGAATGATATAAAAGCATGTTTAATGCAGAGAAAATGTGTGGCCAGTGTAAGCGCTTAAAACACTATTTGCCTATCAATGTATCAGCACAACCCAGAAGCGTACACACAAACTCTATTAGTAACAGATGATAGCGTAGGGAGTACAGTCAGTTGTACTGTGATCTGTATATATGGGGTCTGCTGGGTACCAGAAATACTGAGGGGACATTTTACTTTGCAGTATACCTGAAACTAGTACAAAATAATATTGAATGTAATCTAATTGAAAAGTAAAAATTATATAAAATGGGGGAGGGTAAAATTAAAAGGAAAACAAAGGTACATAAATAACTACATACTTAAATTTCTATGTCGCCCAGAATCTAAAAAAAGATTTTTTTTAAATACATTTTGATTTTTTACAGAGAGGAAGGGAGAGGGATAGAGAGTTAGAAACATCGATGAGAGAGAAACATTGATCAACTGCCTCCTGCACACCACCTACTGGGGATGTGCCCGCAGCCAAAGTACATGCCCTTGACCGGAATCGAACCTGGGACCCTTCAGTCCGCAGGCCGACGTTCTATCCACTGAGCCAAACTAGTTAGGGCTAAAAAAAGATTATTTTTAATGAATAGATTTTAAATCTACTCTGTGATAATAAGTAAAATCAGAAATATATGGGAGCCCTGGAGGCCTCACAATGGCACGTCCTGGATTTCGGTATTAACGTCTCCAGCTTTCCATCTCCTGGATTCAGTCCAACAGCAACAAGGACAACAGTCAACATGCCTGCTTACAGTTCTCTCCATGCCACCCTTTAGGTCACCTTGGATATGAGCTTTCTCACTCTTGTGTTGCTTGGCAGGGAGTGTCCATGGCCATGCCCAGCAGGCATTTCTGAGCCTTTCTAAAAACTGGGTGTTTCAGATGGTGGCAGAAGCAATGGCACACGTCCTGTTCCATCATCACATGCATATCACCAGGGAGGCTCCTCTGTTCTTGTAGGATGTCTAGGAACATCCCTGGCTTCTACCTACTATATTGCCAGCAGCAGCAGTGTGACAATCTAAATATCTCCAGATGTTGTCAAATGTCCCCTGCAAGGCAGTCACCCCCCACTACTGCTCCAGATGTGTGGTTTTTTTTTGTGTGTGTGTATAATTACCTAATTTCACCTATACTCATAAAGTGGTAATATGCTGTACACAGTATTCTGAACCTTACTTTTTTCACTGACCTCAGAGGTCATCTTGTCAGGATTATTCGTGATGCCTGATTTACAGTTTGTTCTTAGGCAAATCTAACTAACTCTTTGTATAGTGCATAGTTGTCATAACTCAGTAACCTGATTTTTATTAAAATTAGGTTATATGAGAAGCATTACTTCTCTTCTTGCATCGATTCCTTCCTAAAATTAATAGTGGCGAAACATTTAATGTCACAAATCTGGCTATTCATCTAGTATTCATCTTAGTATATCAAGACTTGATTCCTCAGTTGAAACCAAGATACTCAATTTACTGGCAAAAAATGACTGTTAAAGTGCTTTTTAAAATATATTTTTCACCTTTGTATTTTGCCCAATGGGAACCAATAGCATTCACAAGCAAAATACTAAATTTGATTTACCTTTTAGAAATTTAAATTTCTTAAGAAGATCAGCACCTACAAAAGAGTCACAGAGGTACAAGAGGAGTCCACTGAAAAACACCCCTTCACAGTTGACATTGCTGGAGTGGGGTCTGGAGCTGATGTAGCATATGGCCACCTGGAATGATCAAGCAGAAGGAGCATGGGCATTTCAGAAGCAAAATGTCTGCACTTTACCTGAATGAGTCAGTATCTTCCTCTTTAGCTGTCTGTTTCAGGATAAGGGAAAAGGTTTTTTTGTGTGTGTGTGTGTGTGTGTTTTATTGAAACTTAAATGAGTTGGTTATTTAAGCTTTGCACCTCTTCTATTTAGTGTACCAAGGTTTAACATATTTAAAGCTTCTAGTTTATTTCTCATAATCAGAGATGGTTATGAAAGAATTAGTAGTAAGGAACAAAATAAGCCCCTCTATCTAAGAGTGTTTATAAAATAAAAAAGCCGCCTTCCACAGAAAGGCATACTGAGGAAAGATAAAATGTTTAGATCACCTTATTAGAGAGAGTAAACATTTTTAATCAGCTTTTCATGTAGATAGACTTAAATTTTCAATTGGCTAGAAGCTTCAAACTGCATGAATTAAATTTTTAGGTATGTATGGCTTCCATGTAACCACAGAAATTACAGGTAAGTGAATGAGATAGTTGGAGGACTTTGAGAAGGATGGAATGACTAAAAATGTGGGCCAGACTGCTTGGGTTCGAGTACTGGTTCCTTGAGTAGTTGTGTGACTCTGAGCAGTCTCCTTCATTTCACCATATTTCATCTTCCTGTAGAGATGATAGTAGTATCTGATTCATAGGACTATTTTGTGAATTAATATAAACAGTAAGTATTCAGTGAGTGTTAGCTGCTGTTAGTAGTAGTGGTATTGGGATTTTGTCCGACATCTAAAGCCCTGGATCTTGGGATGGAAGAGTTGGGAAACCTGGGCTAGACATGTAACTTATGTTGGTACCATGAAAGTGTGGTATCTGATGTAAGGCTCCTTCTACTTATAAAATTCAATAATTCATGTCCAACCCACAGACTTGTGAGAATGTAAAATATTTACAGTTAAATTTTAAAAATCAGTTCTTTTTTTAAAAAATGTTTTTATTTATTTCAGAGAGGAAGAGAGAGGGAGAGATAGAAACATCAATGATGAGAGAGAATCATTGATTGGCTGCTTCCTGCACACCCTCTACTGAGGGGATTGAGCCTGCAACCCAGGCATACGCCCTTGACCGGAATCGAACCTGCGCCCCTTCAGTCCGCAGGCTGACGCTCTATCCACTGAGCCAAGCCGGCTAGGGCCAAAAATCAGTTTTCAAAATTAAATATAATTGGTTTCAGTCTTTAGAGATTGTCAACACATGCAAAGAAAAAAAGGCAAGAAGAAATGTAGTATACCAAAATGTTATTGTTCCTATTACAAGTGATTTCATTTTCTAATTTATACCTTTATTTTTTAAATTCTTTACAAGGACGATATGTTCTTGAATAGAATAAAATAGAATATTTAAAAACAGTACTGATGCCGAAACCGGTTTGGCTCAGTGGACAGAGCGTCGGCTTGCAGACTGAAAGGTCCCAAGTTCGATTCCGGTGAAGGGCATGTACCTGGGTTGCGGGCACATCCCCAGTAGGAGATGTGCAGGAGGCAGCTGATCGATGTTTCTCTCTCATCGATGTTTCTAATTATCTATCTCTCTCCCTTCCTCTCTGTAAAAAATCAATAAAATATATTTAAAAAAACAAAAAACAAACAAAAAAACAGTACTGATAATACCAACAGAAAGCTTAGTGGTAGGAGCTGTTTAAGTCTTGAAGGCTATTGGCTATCAGTGGTCAAGAAGCCTAAAGGTACAACTTGCAAATTTTTTTATAAAGTAAAACTGATGGAGAACTTGAGACAGAGAAGAGAATGACAAATAAGGAAATCATGGAAAAGAATGAAGTGCAAGAGTGGAAGTGACAACGATAAAGGTCTCCATGATACCTTATTGCTCAGCAATCATTGAGCTCCTCTTATGTGCCTACAATAGTGGGTAAGACATAGTGGTCCTCTGGCATGGGGAAAAATACCATCACATGATTAAAATATCTGATGAGTGGATTAAAAAACTGGTATATCTACCCAATGGAATACTACACTGTTGTAAAAAAGAAAGAATTCTTACCATTTGCAACAGCATGGGTGGATCTGGAGAATATTATGCTAAGTGAAATAAGCCAGAGGAAGGTAAATATCACATGATATCATTCATTTGTGGAAAATAATGAACAACAAACTGATGGACAAAAATAGATCCAGAGAAGCATCGAACAGACCACCCAAACTCAGAGGGAAGGCCGGGGGGGGGGTGGGGGTGGTGGTGGTGGTGGTGGTGGTGGTGGTGGCAGGCGGGGGGTAAGAGATCAACCAAAGGGCTTGTATGCATGCATATAAGCATAACCAATGGACACAGGCAGTAGGGGGGTGAGGGCATGTGCTGGGGGTATGAGTGGCTAGGGAGAAGTTAATGGGGAACAAAGAAGACATGTAATATTTTAAACCAGTGGTCGCCAACCAGTGGTCCATGAGGTCTGAAAGGCTGGCAACCGCTGGTTTAAGGAAACCTTTGGAGCAGCGGTTGCCAACTGGTGGTCTGTGAGGTCTGAAAGGTTGGTGACTACTGCTTTAAACAATAAAGAATTTTAAAATATCATCTGATACATGTGATTGAGGGGGAGCAAACAACTGTTTCTGCCCAGCTGAGGTAGTAGGCTTCTCAGCAGAGCTGACCTCAGAGCCAAACTTTGAGTGTTCACTGGCTTATTGTGGAGAGGTGAAATGTGTATGGGGAGGGATGACTACCATTGCACCTTGTGTAACCCTTTGCATAAATGAGTCTGTTACAGGTTCCTTTTTGTCTTTTTCAAATGGGAACTAAAATGGAAAACAAATGGATGGAAGTGGGTAAAGCATAGTACTAGCCCACTCCCCCTTTACCTCTGGTCCAATGTTAAGATAGCAATCAACAGCTAACACAGGACTCTTGAAGTTCCGGATGGCTTTGGGGAAGAGTTTGTATGAGGCGTGCTGAAGGAACTTCTCCAGAAGGAACTGCGCAGGGGCTGCCAGTAATGTGTGTTCACTGTCGGGAGCACAGACATACTGAAGGGGCAGGATGGGTGCTAAGCTCTCTGACACCTGAAACAAGAACCGAGATTATCATGGAAAATGTGTTTGTCAGTGGATGAAATAGGCAAGGAAACTGCATTGCATCCTAGCAGTCCCCAAATAATAGTACAAGTGACAAGTGCTAGGCTCAAATGTAAGTCTGTCCTTGGGTTCTGAAAATGTTTTTCACTTACTACAGAACAGTACTGTCGTATCTAACAATTTACCCACAGCAAGAACAGGAGACAATGGAAAAGCAGGCTTCTTAGAAAGTTACTGCATTTAGCAAGTACATTGTGAGGACCAAAAGGAAGCCTATTATAGTGCTCTGGATGTGGATGGGATTTATCACAACTGAGAGAAAAAAAAAAAGCAAAGGTTTCTAAGCTTACTGGGGATCCATGTTATAAATGATTTAGATACCAGTATCTCTTAAACAGAAAAGGATAGCCCATGGAATTTGCAACCTTAACAGGTTTTGATCTGTTACTTTCTTTTTCTGTTTTTAATCATTTTTATTTTTCAATTACAGTTGAAATATATTAGTTTCAGGTATACACCCCAGTGATTAGACATTATATAACTTATTAAGTGATCATCCGAATACATCTTGTTACCCATATGACACCATACAGTTATTAGAATATTATTGACTATATTTCCTATGCTGTGCTTTACACTCCCATGACTATTCTGTAAAAACCAATTTGTACTTAGTCTGTTCACCTTTTTCACCCAACCCCCAACTCCCTCCCATCTGACGACCATCAAAATATACTCTGCATCTAAGTCTGTTTCTGTTCTGCTTCTTGAGTATATTGCTTGTGGATATCATGGGGTACAGGGGCTCTGGATCTGGGGACTCCTGGGAGGTGCAGGCCAAGGTCAGCTGCCTTTTGTGTTCTGGCTGGTGCCATCCGGTGTGAGCTACAAAGCAATCTTCAGATGGCTGCTACTTTTCCTGGGTTTGGAGGTACCCAGGTGGGGCTAAGCTGTGAACCAAGGCCAGCTGCTATTGCCAGGCCTGCGGCCACTTTGTGAGAGGTATAGGGCACCCTGAGGCCAGACACTGCTTGTTTGAGAGATTTTAGGCAAGTCTGAAGCATGAGCCAAGACAGGCCATTTGTTTGAAAAAAGTCAATGGAAATAGCTTGGGTGGGGTGGGATCTCTAGGAATCACCAGGGCAGGCAGAAAAACACTGAGCCAAGTTGATGGAGACTCAGATATGGCATCTGCCTGTCATCTCTGTGTGTGGGAGGTGGGGGAGGGAGGGGAGGTGTCTCAGAAAAGGAACAATGGCCTCTGCCAGCACTTTTATCTGGCAGAAAGCTGCAGTACTGCCCCCCCCCCCCCCCAGCTCTTATCCTAATGCCAAACAACTTAGTTCTTCCCTGTATATCCCTGTACCATTTTAGCTGCTGTCCCAGCACTGGTGCTCAGAGGAAGTGTGTGCAAGTAAGTCTATGTGTGGGCCCTTTGAGAGGAACTCCAGCAGCTCTTTGTCTTAGCCACAATTCCCACTGGTTTTTACCGCCAGAAGTTATGGGCACTTCTCTTCCTGGCATTGGAACCCTGGGCTGGGGGTCCTGGTGAGGGGCCAGGATCCTTTGCTCCTCACAGGGGACCTCCCCAGCCGAGAGATCCTTTCTGATTTTTGACCAGCCCATTCTGTGTCTGCTCCTACCAGTCTTCATGTGGCTTCTTCCTTAAATCCCTAGTTGTTGGACTTCTATTCAGCTAGATTTCTGGTGGATCTGAATGATGGTGGTTCTATAGTTGTAATTTTGATGCGGTTGTGGGAGAAGGTGAGTACCGCATTTTACCTATGCCACCATCTTGACTGGAAGTCTCTGGTCTTTTATTTTCTTGACAAGCATTTTGATTTACATTTCTCATGTATTACATAAAAAATACAGAATGTTAATTTTGAAACTGAATCCTTCACAAATCCTTGAAGGAGTTGTGAAGCCTTGAATATAAAGAGAAGTAATTTTATTGTATTTTCAAATGTTATGTCTGGCTGTAGATGAGTCCTCAGCAAGGGAAATGAGGACTGCAAGTGCAAATTTGGCATTAAGGACTCCTCACTTTCTAAGCACAAGTGGCAAGTGCTTAATGCCAGCACCTAATAACAAAGATATCAATTAAGAAATTGTTGTCTTCATTCCAATAGTAGAATCAAGCTTGCATACTTACCATGATCTTTGGTTTAATGATAAAGTCCCTTTGCCCTCCAACCTGAATGTATTTCTTCATGAGACTGAAGTTATTAAAACGACAGATGAGCAAGCCACTGCTGTTTGTTCTCAGGTTAAAGTCAACGTCTTCACAGAAATACCTAAATCATAATCACAATAGGTTTCTTTGGCTACCTGACACATCTCAATCATGATCATTACACACAAAGAAATAAATGTGTGGCAGACGTTAAGAGACAGCCTCAAACAGAATCAACCTTGCTTTCTTGTAGAGCGGGCCCTCTTAACACTTGCCTGTGTGAAGCCCCTGATTTGGGAATTACAGCCATTAAATAAAGGAGGAGTGAGGAGAGTTTGGTCCCAGACATTTTTTTGGGACCTTGGGCTCCTTGAACCGAACAAGACTGCACATTCTATATACTCTTGCAAGATGGGAGTGCATAGGTGCTCCAAGTTTTTAAATTCTGGCTGCAAATAGGATGAAGCATCTGTCAAATTTAAAACAAGTAAAATAGCTACAGAATATTCTAGTAGCTACAGGATTGGGGGTTGACATAAGAGGGACTTTACAGTCCCTGGCTTTTCTTTGTTTGGCCAGATCAGATTTTCCAGGATATGGACATAATTTATTCAGGAGGCAAGGCCAAGGTTAGCCTGCTCATTTTCACTTACTGGCTTTTCTACAGAATCCAGACCTCTGGTCTTACATTTGGAGAAAGTGATTACCTTCTGAGGTCAGAGGAAGAAGGAAGAATTAACCTTCAGTGGGCTTATGGGTCCACACACTGACTGGTGTTGATTCAACAGTTTGTCCCTGTTTCAGTTTTTGTTGAATAATGAGATCGCTGAAACATTTTCCAAGCATTTTATATTGTAACACCTGTTAAGGATTTGTGTCAGTTTGAAGGATGGTGAAGGGATACTTTGAGACTTGATTCTCCCCCTTTCTTCTTGTCCATGTAAAGAGATTCTCAGTTTTCAATTAAAGACAGAAATAGGAATAAAAAAACAGGCTAGAGCTGGGTAGAGACAATGACTAGGGTTACTTGTACCCAAGAGCCTGACTACCTGTTGAAGTCGTACTGCACATTCTGAGTCAGGTCTATGTTGAGGAGAATGAAATCGTGCACGTGGCACCTGGAGAACGGGACCTTCAGACTCTGGGAAGCCAGCTTGCTGCTCCATTTCTGTATACCCAGGATTGCATAGTGGATGATTTTTGGTGTTGCTTCAATGTGCTGTAAGACACTCTTCAAGGACACATTCTTACTGGAAACTCCTGCTTCCATGGGCTGGCTATGAAATGTAAAGTTAGTTTATATAAGTTATCAATAAATATTATTGAAAACAGGGTCATTTATGAAGGGCCAACACTACTATACAGTATTAATATCTGTAATATAATTAGCTCATTTACTTTCTCTTAGCCTGGAATGGAGGAAGGTGTCAAGCTGAGTTTTCATACTGCCAGACTGCTAATTTTAGGAAACTGCCTCTAGGGGGTGGGGTGCATCACTTTAAGACCGAGAAACAAAGCCAGCCCCTGCCTCAAAGTGAATAACGAGCAGTAAGTTACTAGAGTGAGGTAGCCCGAGGTCAGAAGTATACTTCCTAATTCTGGTAATTATTGTATAATGGAATATTTGAGAACGTCACTGACTTCAAATCCACAAGGACACAAAATCACGACGTTTGAATTGGAAGGGCCTAGAAATCTGGCTGTGTTTCAACGAGGGTGTTATTGATATCTGGGGCCATTTCTTGTGTTGGACTTACCCATTTTTATTATCCTTCTGGTTCTCATGGACCCCTCACCACTGCCCCAAGAGGAAAACCACTGAGACTGGCCCAACCATAATTTTACAGGTGATGAAACTGAGAAAGGTGAAATAATTTTCCCTTTCATCCAATAACATGGCAAAGCTGGGGCTAAAAAGCAGGTTCCCTGATTTAGAAGCCAATGACTTTTTTTTTTTTTAAATCTTCACTCCAGGATATTTGTCCATTGATTTTTAGAGAGAGGGAAAGACAGAGAGAAATATTGAGAGAGAAACACATCAATTGGTTGCCTCCTGCACGCGCCCTGACTAGGGCCCGGGCCAAGGAGAAGCCTGCAACCAAGGTACGGGCCCTTGATAAGAATCAAACCCAGGACCCTTTAGTCCTTAGGCCAACACTCTCCACTGAGCCAAACCAGCAAGGGCTGGACTTTCGAAACAAAGCATACTCTCAATAGATTTATAGCTAACCAAAGCCATGATGCAGAAATGGTCTGGGAATTTAATGGCATACTGAATGTCTAAATTTAAAAAAAAAATGTACTTGTGAGGGTGGTCTTGTGGATGAACGTTCTGCTCTGGAAAGCTATGCCTCTTCTATTTATTTCCATGCATAACTGCAGCCAAGGAGAGGATCTTCTCAATAGGACTGCTCGGGAAGTACCACTACCTGGTCTGCTCCTGAACACTGTGAATGTTCCACAGGACACATGAGTCATCCATCACAACGATGAAAGGCCAGACACACTGGCGTTTAATTCCCAGCTCTTCCAGGCGGTTCCTCTCCAGTTCCAGGTTGTGGTATGACAGCTCCTTAATGAGAAACCTGGCAGCACCTGGAAGGCAACACAAGTACAGCTGCACGTCCTTCACTCAGGAAGCCCCACAGACAGCTCACTCTCTCCACAGGCATGCCTGTTCACATGGTGACCACTGTGAGCAGGGTCAACTAGATTTTCAGAGCAAACTTTAGTGTAGGTAAAAATCACAGAGGAAGTCTTTAAAATGCAGACTCCTGGAGCCTAACACCAAAGATTAACTTGAGTAGGTCTGATAAGGGGACAGAAACCAAAGATGTCTGATGATACAGATGATTCATGAACTACACTTTGAGGAATATAGCAAGAATCCAGTTTCCCTGATAGGACAAAGGATGCCACATGGAGGAAACTCATTACTAGTCAGTTTCTGAAAGTCATGATAAGAGGCTCTGTCTCAGAAGCAGTCTCTCACATGTCCTGCACTAGGGAGTACCAGAGCCTGCGGTTAGTGAGTATGCCGCTTACACTAATGTGTTTCCTGCTTTAGAGAACTTTAGGAAATTGGTAGCATCATCTCTGAAGATGATTCTGGAAACTGGCATTTTTTTTCTAGTTTTTTCTTTTTTCTTTTTTGCAAGAGGCTGTGTGGTATAGTGAGTAGTAGAAAAGATTGGAGCCAAGCTGCCTAGGTTTGAATCCTGATCCCACCACTTTCTAACTTTGACAATGAACCAATTAACTCCCCTGTGCCTTGGCTTCTCCACCTGTAAGAAGGCAATGATAGCATCTACTTCGCGAATTGTACGGTGCTTGGGATAGTGCCTAGCATGTACTAAGTACTCAATGAATGATAGCAATTAAGATGATTGTCAAGCCAGTCACAGAAAGACAAATATCACATGATCTTACTTATATGTGGAATCTAATGAACAAAATAAGCTGATGAACAAAATAGGTGCAGAGGCATGGATGTATGTAACAAACTGACACATCTCAGAGGGGTGAGAGGGATAAGAGATTAGCCAAAAAACTTACATACATATATGTATAGCCCATGGACACAGATAATAGTGTGGTGAAGTCCTGGGGTGGGCAGGGGCTAGTGGAGGAGTGCAAAGAGGGGGGAGTAGGGGATATCTGCAATACTGTCAACAATAAAAAATATATATTAAAGATGATTATCACCAGGCATTAGCCAAATTTTATGAGTGGCCCACTCTAAAATGAAAACAAAATGTAGATAATGAAATGAAGGGTAGTAAAGCTAGCAAGTCTAACCAGGAAAACTATTTGAATAGATGAAGAGAAATAGGATTTAGGAAAATATACTGTCTAAGAGCATGAATGTAATAGTTTACATTCTCAGCATAATAAGGATCATATATGAAAAACCCACAGTAACATACTCAGTGGTGAAAGACTGAAAGCTTTTTCTCTAAGATCAGGAATAAGACAAGGATGTCCACATTAAGATGATCCTGGAAATTATAGCCAGAGCAATTTGGCAAAAAAGAAATAAAAGGCATCCAAGTTGTAAAGGAAGAAGTAAAAGTATCTCTCTTTGTAGGCAACATTATCTTGTATGTAGAAAACCCTAAAGATTTCACACACAAAAAAAGCTGTTAGAATAAAGTGAGTCAGTGAATACAAAACCACTCAAAAGTCAGTTGAGTTTATATAACAATAATCTAAAAGGGAAATTAAGAAAACAATTTATAATAGTACCAAAAGAATATGATTATTAAAGAATATGATTAAATGTTTAATCAAGGAGGCAAAAGACTTGTACACAGAAAAGCACAAAACATTGCAGAAGAAATTAAGTAAGACTCAAATGGAAAGGCATCATGTTCATGGATCAGAAGATGTGATATTGTTAAGATGTCAATATTACCCAAGGCAGTCTACAGATTTAATAGAATCTCAATCAAAATCTCAATTTTTTTTCAGAAGTAGGAAGTCCATCTTTAAATTCATATGGAATCTCAAGGGACGCTGAGGAGCCAAAACAATCTTGAAGAAGAACAAAGTTGGAGGTCTCTTAGCTGATTTCAAATTTACTACAAAACTATGATAATCAAAGCAATGTAGTAGTGGCATAAAGATAGATATATAGACAAATGGAATAAAAATACTGAGCCCAGCACTATACTCTTGCATATATGCTCAAATGATTTTTGACAAAGGCACCAAGACCATTCATTAGGGAAAGAATAGTCTCTTTAACAAATGGTGTTGGGAATGAAGTTGGACCGTTATACTATGTAAAAAAATTAAAATGGATCAAATAACTAATGCAAGAACCAAAACTATAAAACTTTTTTTGGTGTTAATCTTCATCTGAGGATATTTTTCCATTGATTTTTAGAGAGAGTGAAAGGGAGGAGGGGAGACAGAAGCATTGATATGAGAGACACACATCGATTGGTTGCCTCCCACACCCACTTGGACCAGGGCCGGGGATTGAGCCTGCAACCGAGGTACAGCCCTTGACTGGAATCGAACCCGGGATCCTTCAGTCCATGAGTCAATGCTCCATACACTGAGCCAAATCAGCAAAACTATAAAACTCAGAAATGGGGAAAGCTTGAGGATGCTGGATTTGGTAATGATTTTTTGGATCTGACACCAAAGCACAGGCAACAAAATAAAAAATAAAAGGCCAGACTATGTAAACATTTGAAACTTCTGTGCAAAGGACACAACTGTGAAAAGGCAACCTACAGATTGGGAGAAAATACTTACAAGCCATATATCTGATGAGGGGTTAAATATCCAGAATATATAAAGAACAACAAGTCAACAACAACAAAATCAACCTGATTAACAAATAGGCAAAGCACATGAATAGATTCTCCAAAGAAAATATACAAATGACTAAAACGCACATGAAAAGACACATGACATCACTAATTAGGGAAATGCAAATCTAGTCACAATAAGATCCACCTCACAGCCATTAGGATATGAGGATATGGAAAGACAAACGATTCTGCACTGTTGGTAGGAATGTAAAATTGTACAGCCATTATGGAAAACAGTATGCTACTTCCTCAAAAACTTAAAAGTGGAATTTTATGATTCAGCAATTCCACTTCTGGTTATATCCAAAAGAACTGAAAACAGGTCTTGAAGAGATATGTGTACATCCATGTTCATAACACCATTATTCACAATAGCCAAAAGGTGGGGAGCGACCAAGTGTCCACTGATTGGTGAATGGGTGAAGAAAGTGTGTAGACATACAGTGGAATATTGTTCAGCCTTAAAAAGGAATTAATGGTACTGAGATTCAGTTTTGCCAGAGGAAGAGTTTTGGAGATTGGTTGTACAACAATGTGGGTATACTGAACACTGCTGATCTGTACACTTAAAAATGGCTGAGATGGTAAGTTTTATGTAATGTGTTTCTTATCACAAGTAAAATTGAAAAAAGATATTTGCATTAATTTCATTTGCATATATATGGGCTTTTCTCCCCCCAAATTTGCAAAAATGGCAAAGCTAGCACTAAGAAAATTCAGGCAGATCTGGGATGAGGAAACTTTTTTTACCTAAAGGTTAATAAAGCAGGGGAAGGGGTAATTTGAGGATCAGATTCATATAGAAAAATATTTTACTTTGGGGATATGTGGTTTTGGGAAGGATAAACGATCAGAAATATGTAAAAATCTTAATTGCTATAAAGTGATAAACATGGAAAATAAAATTGCATCCAAATAATAAACCAGTTTTTAAAAATACTTTAATCCTGTATTAAGGCTAAGGTTTAAGAACGTGAAAAGGAGTGGAAAGGAGAACAAGAAATGAAGAGACCGAATAAGGAGAGGAGAGAGACGGACAGACAGAGGGAGAGGCAGAAGTGAAGTGGGAAAATAAGCGCAAGGGAGACCCTGGAAAGGAGGACCATGTAGATTTAGGGAAACTTCTCGGGTCTCATTTGCTGTTCACTCCAGGTCTGAGCTGGATGTTCTTACTTCCCTCAAAAGTGTCAATTATCGGCTCTTGATCCTCAGCCCTTCTGAGACTCTGCACTAAGTCAGACACCCACAGAAGCGGGTCAGAAAAATGATTGAGAACTACGATGCGAGAAGTGACCAGACAGTACTGCTCTAAACTACTGATCCACATGGAAGCATTCTAGATTTCTCCAGTGCCTCCCTCAACAACCCTGTCACACTCAGCAACCAAGTGCCCTCCCCTTGGAAGAAATCAGCCCACTGCTCTTAAACCCTGTGGGGAAAGGCAGGAAGACGTCTTCCAGGCACTGTAAAGATGACTGCCACAGTTCCTGGTTGTATAGAACCCCCTAGACCTTGCCACACACCTTAAAAATGATTAGGGACCCCTTTGGGCACATCTTCAGATGCCTCCAGACTACCCTTCTCACTGTCACATTCCTGCTGCTGGTGTGCCCCGCCCAGGAACCTCGACTACTTCAAGCCCTCCCCAGGGTGCTCAATACACCAGTGACTTCTTTAGTTACTAGTACTCAGAAGTGAAAAGTTCTGCAAAACTGCAGATACAGGAAAAATAAACATTTAAAGAGGAGTAGAAGTCCTTTGGTCAGGAGGGCAGGACACTTTCCAGAGGCAGGGGAACCTTTGAAAGTTTCACGCCCAGGGAATGGAGCTTATTGTTCAGCCCTGCTCCCTATCCCAGGGGGCCCTTACCCACGCCTGCGTTATTGAACGTGCCGGGAAGCACAAGCATGATGTGGTTGGGCCAGTACTTGCGGTACAGCGGCATCTCATATTCTTTGACCACTAGAAGATGCAGGTGGCTGATGCCCTCCATGGCGTGAAAAAGGTTTAGGAGTCCATGCTCATGGCGACCACTGGAAGGAGTGAAAATAGGGCTCTTGACCGCATTCAAATTCTGTTGAAAGAAAAAAACAAAAACAAAAACCAGAGGCCAAAAAGGGAAATTAAAACCCTTAGATTTAAGAAGCTTCGAGAACCTGATATAGTACCTGATAGTCCTCGTGTCCAGATACTATCACCCACCTTGTCTGAAACCAGGGGCAGTCGCATGCTCTCCAGGTGTTTGCCCTGATTGCTGAAGACAAAATGACTCTCTTTGGACTTGGGAATGATGAAATAGAGCTGCACCTCTTCTCCCAGCATGGAGGAAGAGAACGTGAATGCGTGAAGGGTGGAGTCAGACATCTACATTTGCAAAGAAGGAAAGGAATGTAAGCTCACAGTGGACAGACTTCAAGGCCACGTGTTAAGGTTGTTACTGAGAACGTACACCTGCCACAGGAACTGGCCGTGGACAGGGTTGGAAAGGCAAATACTTCATCTTCAGTAGCTGCCACTGGTATGAGTGTCAAGCATCTTGCCCCTACACAGCCTGTCTGTGGGTGGCTTGGCACTGTCTTTGCAACCCCAAAGAGGCACTGGGTACTACTCTCACTTGCTACTTTTCCCATCATTTGTACTTAAAGATGCTCTGGCAGAAAACAGATACTATGGGGTACCGGGTACCGGCTCACCTTTGTTCCTCCCTTTCAGTTCTTTCTAAATAAAAGAGTAAACACTGACTCCTCTGTATGCCTAGTGGTCAAAACCATCCCATGCTAGAAATAAAGATATGCCGAAACCGGTTTGGCTCAGTGGATAGAGCGTCGGCCTGCGGACTGAAAGGTCCCAGGTTCGATTCCGGTCAAGGGCATGTACCTTAGTTGTGGGCACATCCCCAGTGGGGGGTGTGCAGGAGGCAGCTGATCGATGTTTCTCTCTCATCGATGTTTCTAACTGTCTCCCTCCCTTTCTCTCTGTAAAAAATCAATAAAAATATATTAAAAAAAAGAAAAGAAATAAGGATATGATTAGGTTGGTGCAAATCAACAAACTTGTTTACTGCTTCAAGGGGCCGCCATATAGATTTGTTAGATAATAGCACCATTTTCATCAACAACCCAAAGGGGGTTTCACTAAATATGTCATAATATCCAGTTTCTTCAGCATCAGTTTTTTTTTTTAGTGTCTCAGCTATTTTCTGACACATGTGACCATTTTGATGAAGTGACTTAAGACACAAAAATTTAGTTTATTTCCCTCTCTTACCACCCCCAGCCACATTCCTAAAAAGCCCCAAGTCATTTTAATCAATTGCTTCATGCACTGTGCTCACAAAGACTGGCTCCATTTCATAAATGAGCATCCTTAAAGGAGGGCTGAAAAGGGGAACCTTAGTTTTCACCCCTTAAACACGAAGTCACGCTAGGTGGCAGGCCACGGGGAAGGGCCGCACCTGGGAGGTGGAGGGGAAGTCCATGTACTGGTGGCACTGCTCGCAGTGGTGGAAGGTGTTGTAGGCCGCGTACTTGGTCAGCATCATAGACACAGTTTCTCGTTTCCTGGGCTCTTCAGCTCTGGATTCCTTTATTGCTTCTGTGTACAAAGGGGCAGAAAACCTTCCCATGAAATGCATGAAGCCCCTATGCCTGGGAGAAAGTCCCCGGCTCCCTGAAAGGGTTTTTCCAAGGATTCTAGAATTTACACTCTGAAAAGCAGGTATGAAAAGTAAAAGGTGATGTGTGTGTGTGTGTGTGTGTGTGTGTGTAAGGGCAGAGAAATGCAGAAAGGAGACTTACATAAGCTGCTGTCAAAGATTAAACTGCCTCGGGCCTCCTGCCCGACTTAGGTTCCCCTGGACCTTCAGAGGAGATAAGCCTGGCTCTGCTTGCACTGACCTTGTTTGACCCCTGCTAGCTTCTCCGTGTAGACCAGGCTCATCAGACTGAACTTGGGATCATGCACGCTGATGTCGAAGGGCATTTTACTGAAGCTCTCGATGTCGGGCCAGGGCTCTCCCTCGGGCTGGCTCACTCCGCTGCTTTCGCTGTGATCTAGGACAAGAAGAAAGAAAGTGTGCAGAGCAGGCAGATGGCCCAGCCTCCCTCCCAAGTGTCAGGGACAGAAAGTCTCATGAAATATGAACTCCAATGGGTGGACAAAGGCATTTCTGGAAAATGAGCTCCCATTCCAAGGTGGAGGGAACCAGAACTGTCCCTTCATACCCGTGCTGGGAGGGACGCCTGCCCTGACTAGCCCCCAACATTAGCCTCTGCACATTTGGTCCATATCTATGAAATCAACTAGTCTCCCACGTGAGATCATGAAAGTGCTTTAAAAGCTTGTTTAATTTTGGATTATCTAAGTTCTTAGAGTGTTAGTTGTGGGGTTTTTAGAGGCCGACAGCCTGTGTATGAGACTTCAGGGATGTGCTGAGCAAGGTTCCCAATGTCTGCTTCATGTCAGAATTGTGGGGAAGCTGTAAAAATCCCGGTGTTTGGGCTACACCCCCTCCCATCTCCTTTATCACCAGGCACCTGTGGGGGCTTAAAGCTCTACTCAGGTCCCATATGCAGTCAAGGTTGAGTAGCCCAGGGTTTGAGTTCAGCTGCTGCCCCTTACTATTCACACCTGCAGGCGCTGACCTTAGCACTCACAGTTCCCTGATTGTTGTAAGAGTTCCAGATGGTGTGTTTCAAGTGTCAGACACTGGTAGGCACATGGTGGGTATGAAACAGATGATATTTATTGTTATTAATAAAATTTGTAAGATCAGCCCTAACTGGCTTGGCTCAGTGGATAGAGCGTCGGCCTGAAGACTGAAGGGTCCGGTCAAGGGCATGTACCTTGGCTGCAAGCACATCCCCAGTGGGGGATGTGCAGGAGGCAGCTGATCGATGTTTCTAACTCTCTATCCCTCTCCCTTCCTCTCTGTAAAAAATTAATAAAATATATTTTAAAAATTTTTGTAAGATCAAAGCTTGACAACTTTCAAAAGGAGAAAGGAAGAAACTTAAAAAACTTCAAGTCTGGAGGGGTGGGGGAGCAACGGGGGGATAAGGACGCATATGTAATACCTTAATCAATAAAGAAAAAATTAATTAAAAAAAGTCTAGAGATGAGAAGTACAGCTCTTATCTTTTTAACATGATGCTGCTTATTTTTCTATCCTTGGGCTGAAGTTTGCATTTTATTGAAAAGCTAAAGCTCATTCTGGTTTTTAAAAAAGGGGTCACTGTGCCTCTCTGAGCACTGTCACATCCATCACACTGAAATGAGGGAGAAGTAATAAAGCCAAACCAACAGCACTTCTTGCTACAAAGGCCAGGCTCGAGGTCATGGGCTGTGCAGACTGTCTCACAGTTCATTGCATAGATTTGGGATCTGAGGAGAAAATTAAGGGTATCGCTGTCTGTGGTGCCAAGGGCCTTGTGGGAAAGCTGGCAGATGGAGGGGTCTGCCAACTTTGGTCCCAGCCCCCTCCAGGCAGCTGAGGGGAAGGTGTTCTGAGGCCAACCGGGAGCTCTGGGTCCCTTCTAAGGTGGGCCTGGTGCAGCTCAGCTGGGGACACAAGGAGATGTGGCTATGACCATGGGACTGTGTGTGTCTGGAATCATGCATATGAGCTGGTAATGATATAGGGCCAAAGTGATTTTAAAATGATTAAATATGGCTGATTTTACCTAGTCTTGCTCTGGACTAAACTAGTCCCTTGGGCTTGTCACAGAACAGGTCAACTATTTAGAAAAAGCAAATGAGGTGAGATCTCCAAGGCTAATCTGATAGAAGATGCCAGGGCCTTTCCCTCCTTCTCACTTGAGAACTTCTACCTCATTACCTCTACTTACTACCTCCAGTGTCTGTCCCCTCTTATCTCCCACCCCCAACCCCATTTCCCTCCAGCACGGTCAGTCATTCTGAGATGTGAAGCCAGATTCAAGTCCACCCTATCCTTAGCCACAAGCTAATGCTGGCTGAGCCCTGCTCACACCAGTTTTGGGATGGGCCACAGAGCGGGACTGTCCCACAGGTGCCAGCTGGAGGAGCGCTGGAAGGGGGCACAGCTGGGATGACCTTACTGAAAACCAGCCCCCACAGCCCTGATAGGCATGAGCCCCTGTGTGTCGCTGCAAACGTGAAGGGGTTTGTTCATGGCTCAGGCTTCTGCTGCACACGGAAGTTTTCATTTCATGAGAGTAATTAACCCATATACCTTCCCTCAGAGCCTGCGGTTAACACAGAAGATACACTGACTCACCAGCAAAGCCCTAGGATCCAGAGTATAAAACATGCCCAGACCATTAAGCCCAGCACCACAACTGAATTTTAAACCTAAATGATTTCACCACCTAAGCAATTAATCAACCAGAGCTTCATAAAATGCCTTTTTACCCAGCATCTGGCTGCATCCTGAGACGGGGAGGCTCAAGGAAGGGGAAGACTCCGCTGCTGAGCGCAAGAAGCTAGAGCACAGCCACCGTTTACTCATACCCACTTGCCGGCCCGTTGCCTTGGCTCTCACAGGATCCCTGCACATGGGGCCCAGGAGAAATCCCAGGAGGTAAAGAAAGCTCCTAACGTCCCATCTCTCGCCCCTGCCCGCCCAGGTTCAGAACTCACCTGTGTTGATCTCTCCCTCGTCATACACATCCACCTCCAGGAGCCTGATGAGCATGCGGAAGAGGATCCTAAGGAACTGCAAATAGGAGCCTGTCTTCCCCACCTGGTGGAAATGGTTTTAAATGGGGGGAGGGAAGGAAAAGAGGTTTCACACCTGGGTTCTTCGTGCCTCCTGCTCCGAGAGCCCTGGATGAGGTCCTCATTGTTCTGGGTCACACCCCTCTCCATCTGCCCCCGAGAGTGTCCCTGGCTTCTTTCCTTCTTGGGGACCCCAGCTTAGGACAGGGTCTGGTCCCGATCCTACCTGGGGGGGCCCAGTCAGCAGCAGCCGTCGGGGGTGGCAGGCCCGGGCGCCGGAGCTGGGGTCGGGCTGGTTGCTGTAGTCGGCGTGGTGCTGCCGAGCCGAGGTCCACTGCCTGTAGTAGAGCGACTGCTCCTCGCTGCCCATGTCCTTGTGCAGGAGCGGCCGCAGGGAGCTCACCCAGGCCACATCGGCGTGGGGCAGCAGGGAAGCGGAGGACGGCAGCTTGCCTCCCCTCTGGGAGCCCAGGAGGCTGTAGGCCGCTTTGGACAGGATCACTATTGGGGGCAGGGTGGCATGCAAGCCCCTACAACCGTGGACAGGCCCAGCGGGCCACGGGAGAGCCCGGGGACCCGAGGAGGAGGAGGGTGATGATGAAGGCTTGGAGGTGGTGCTGCTCGCCATCTGGGGGCCCAGGGAATCACACTCCTGCTTCAGGGTCTCCCCAGCTCCCGCTGTGCCTGCAGAGACCCCTTCCTCCAGCCCCGTGCTGTTGGCTGGGCTCTGGAAGCTGGGGGTCAGGGGCTGCTTCTGGGACTTGTCCGCGGTACTGGAAGAGCTCACCCCATTCTCCATGATGGAACCTGAAAGCAGATGGACAGAGGCCACCCTGTGACTGATGCCAGGTCTCCTGGCACCTTCAGGAAGAAGGGAAAGGCCAGGAAACCAGGCTCTGGGCACCAGCTCCAGAAACTATGCTAGAAATCTTCCCCTTGCCCTCCCTCCGCACGCTTCTTCCGCTCCCCTGCCCTGGCTCAGGGTGGGATTGGCCAATGGGAGACTCTGATTGGAAACTGGTTGTTTATTCCCTGGCTCGCCCCAGCAGGGTCTCCAGGGTGGGCAGCCTTTCTCCATGAGGGCTGCGGCCCTGTCACGCTGGCTCCTCTGGCTTCTTCAGGCCCAGCAGGGGTGAGGGCCCCCTGAGGTTCCCTGTATCCCATCTTTGTAAATAGTCCATTATTGAACGTTCCTCAATTACCTCATTTGGATGTGCTCTCTGATTCACTCCAGAACACTGACCACTGCAGGCGCCACATTCCAGTTCTGCTCAAGTGGCACCGCCACCTCCTGGGGTCTGAGGACCTCACCCTCCTGGCTGTGGACAACCTCCCCAGCTGTGGCCATTTCCATGGACGCCCAAACCAGTGTGGGAAAGCCTCCATGGGAAGGAGGATGGAAGCATAGTCTATTCCTAATGAGGTGCTGCTCTCACCCAGAGGCCCCTGCACATTCGGCCAATTCACTACAAATTGTGTTTTCCCTCTAACAGGGCAGCCACTCTTTGGATTGAGGACACACCTAAAGCTCATTGCATTTAGGACTGAGGCCCTCTCTGGGCTCAGATCCGTGCTTCCCAGGCATGTAGGTCAAATCCCAACCTTGGGAGATTCTAGATCAGTGGTTCTCAACCTGTGGGTCATGACCCCTTTGGTGGGCGAACGACCCTTTCACGGGGGTCACCTAAGACCATCCTGCATATCAGATATTTACATTATGATTCATAACAGTAGCAACATTACAGTTATGAAGTAGCAACGAAAATAATTTTATGGTTAGGTCACAACATGAGGAACTGTATTTAAAGGGCCAGAAGGTTGAGAACCACTGAGCTAGATGAACACCAGGAACTGGAGGTTATTGCAACCAAGTCACTCCACTTGCTCATCTGGCTTTTTTGTCTTTCCATGTTGTTTGAGAGCATGCCTTTCTGTCATGGCCCTGACCTTCAGAGTCCACATGTCTGCGCACTTTGAGCAGTGAGCCTTCCCGAGGACTCTTGGAGTTGGCCCAGGGTTGAGGGATGTGTGCTCAGTGGTGTAAGCACAGCCTGCTTGTCAGGTTGTCCTCAAAGGGAGGGAAATTCTAAATAGCAGAAGGCAAACCATTACCTTTGTGTGAGTTAATCAGAGCAAGGCCAAGACTATGTGAGCCTTGTGGGATGGTTCTGGCAGTTGGGGCAAGGAGGGGATCTGATTAAAGAGCCACAGGAAGGAAGGCAAAGTCTCCTCCACTGATGCTGGCATCCCAAAGCTTCTAGATGGGACAGCCATCCTCCCTTCTGTTACCCTTTCCTCTCCCTTATTCTGAACTACTCTCAGAGAGAAACCTGGGGAGCCTTTAGTGGAGGGGCAGGAGGTACATCCCTGGCCCCTGGGGAGCAGCTGAGCCCACCCAGTAAGACAGTCTTCCAGCTCTTCAGGCTGATGGTCACCATTGAAAGAGAAAACCCCACCCCACCAATAGCAGCCTTTTCAGTTCCCACAGGGAGCCATCTAACAGCTACAGGATGAACAGAAAGACCAGTGCTGCTTTCGGACACGCAGTGGTGTGTGTGTTTGCGTGCCTGTCATAGTGACGGATGGAGGAAGGGAAGTGGGGACAGAGGAACAGGACTGGTTACCTCTGGCAGGGGCTTTTCATTTCTCCTCTCTCCTCTCTGTTTTGTTACATGCTCCAAGTTTTCTATGTTAAGTTTAATTACTTTCAGAGTCAGAAACAAATGGAAATACTGTCGTATTTGCCATAATACAATTTATCAGAAGAAAACGCACGTGGAGCACTGCCATATAGGCCATATGCTAATGCTGCAAGAGAGGGGCTGGCAGGCTGCATGGTGGACCATCAGTCAGCCAGTGGCCTCAGAGTAGCTTTCAGGATACAAACACTTGCCATTAAGTACTTAGAAAAGTCATCCCTTCATCCATGCATCCATCCGTTCATTCATTCAAACACTTTGTGCCAGGTACTAAGCCAACTAACACAAACTTACAGCTTCAGGGTCTGGAAGGAAGAGAGGGCCTCTGTGCAAATACCTGATCCATAGTATCCATGAGATCATTAGGGTAGGAGAGACCAGGGGAAATGTGCAGACTAAGGTTGATAAAATTTACTCACTCTATTTAGCCTATTACCAAGTTTGTCATTAAATGTTTACCCATAGAAGTATTTCGTGGCTGTTCAAGAGTCATGCTTTCTAAGTTTCTCTCCCAGGAAACAGGTCGGGATGGGATGCCCGAGCCACAGAAGACTCTGAAAACCTTGAGGGGTGTCAGTAGATGCCTCTGCCTTCCACACATCCCTCCCTTCTCACTCCCCTTCCTGATCCTTCGAAAGAGAAAAGAGAGTACTGACCCGAGGTTCCAGTGATGGCACTGCTGTTGCTCTGGGGCCTCTCCAGATCGATCAGCAGCTCATCCGAGTCATTCTCGCTCGCGGTGGCTCTCTCCTGCTCCTTCCCGCTCAGGTCCAGGGCAACAGTGGACCCCCGGATGACCTCTTTTGAGACATAGCAGCATGCCAGACCCACCTCCTGCTCCAGGGCTGTGCGAGTTAAATAGCTTGAGTCAATTAAGCGGAGGTCACAGTACTTCAAAGACCTGCACAAAAGTAATGATGTTTTTGGTGAGACCATCTGCTTTGTGTGCAGCGTTGGTGTATGTCTGGATAGCTGGATGTCTCCCAGAAGCTCAAGTCATGGGTTTCAGTGCCAGGTAAACCTTGCTCTAAACCTCAGCTCTGCCAGCTCCTAGATGTTATGACGTCACCCTAGTCACTTCATTTTATCCAACTGTAAAACGGATTAACAGCGCCTGGCTAATATGATTTTTGTAATGAATGAATGGCAGGACACATATAAGGCATTTAAGGCGATACATTACACAGTAAGCATTCAGTTACACCAATCTGAAGGCCTTAGATCCTTGAAGGGGCTGGGGACAGCAGATTAAGAGACTTCATCCACAAAGAAATCCTGATTTCGGGTAGGTGCCTTTCCTCTCTGCCTCTCTGGCTGCCCTGTTTTAATGAATAAACATTTCTCACTATGTCTATCTTCCATTCCCAACATTGCTAGGTGATCTCTGGAAAGTCAAAAGAAGGAATCAAAGAAAGCTTTATTTCTTATATCCCTGAAAACAATTCTATTTTCACTTGCCAAATGAGTGAGATGGTTAAACATCAGCTGGGCAACTCATAAAAAATGTACCTGGGAAAGGTTTCTCCAAGAGGATCTTTGCCAGTTAATATCACAATACAAGGCAGACCTTCTAAGTCTTGGTATGTCCGAGGGATCCATTCTTCAAGTTCATTTCCTCTCCAGGTCTGTAGAAAGGGGCCCACACGATAAAATTAAAACCCCTTACTTAAATTTCCACCTTTTTAAAAATTTCTAGGTCCAGATTTCTTAATACACATCTGTGCTTCCAAATGACTTCCAGTAAGTATGGGCACACATTTTAATTGCTACCAAAAAGCACACACAACACGCTAGAAGAATGTGACCTTTAGTTTTATCTCAATAGGATGAAACAGGAGATCTTGATATGCGTCATGCATTAGCCACACAGGCCAAAGAAATGATGTGAAATATCCCACAAACCTTACAGAAAAAACCTGGTTAAAATACCTGACTCAAGGCTCTTAAACATACATTCTTCATAGAATAAACAGACTCTGGGGCTGATTGAAAAAGAGAGTTTCAGCCCAGCTGGCATGGCTCAGTGGTTGAGCGTCAACCTATGAACAAGGAGATCACGGTTTGATTCCCGGTCAGGGGCACATGCCCGGGTTGTGGGCTTGATCCCCAGTGTAGGGCATGCAGGAGGCAGCCAATCAATGATTCTCTCTCATCACTGATGTTTCTATCTCTCTCTCCCTCTCCCTTACTCTCTGAAACCAATAAAAAAAATGTATTTTTAAAAATATATTGATTTTTTACAGAGAGGAAGGGAGAGGGATAGAGAGTTAGAAACATCAATGATAGAGAAACATTGATCAGCTGCCTCCTGTACACCTCCTACTGGGGATGTGCCCACAACCAAGGTACATGCCCTTGACCGGAATCGAACCTGGGACCTTTTAGTCCGCAGGCCGACACTCTATCCACTGAGCCAAACTGGTTAGGGCCCAATAAAAATATATTAAAAAAAGAGAAAAGGACAGTTTCAGTAGTGAGTGACTAAGAAATTAATCTCAACAAAACCCCATTGAAACAGAAATTTTCACCAAGAAAATCATGAAGTGAGCCACCTCTGATAGTCATTTTCCCTTTCTCCCTTTATTGACTTTGAAAATAACTGACAAGTAATACTTGGCTTTCGGCTCCAAAAAGTCTTTCTCAAGAAGGCTAAAAATAGAACCAAACCAGGGCCAACAAAAAGCCTGTCCCTTCCTTGGAAGAGTAATGCAATTAGCTCATGACCTTACATAGAGTCTATTAAGCATCAGCTTCTCATATACATCAACACATTTGTACATGTACACACATATGTTTATCTATAATAAATGGAATGTGAATCTTGAAAACATGAATATATCAATGAATGAAAAAAATCTCACTAACTTGAAAGATGTTCAAAAGTGAAAACATCTGGGAGAAACTAAGATGGCGGCATAGGTAAACACCGGGAAATTGTCGCCTCCCACAACAATTGAAAATTACCGCAAAGGACTGAGCAAACATCATCCAGAACAACAGGAAGGCTGGCTGAGTGTAAATTCCACAACTAGAAGGAAAGAAAAGCACGCTGAGAGCCAGAGGCGCTGCGGAGGTGAAGTGCAGAGGTACGGCGGCTCGAGCGCGCGAGGAAAGGGGGTGGCACCTGAGGACGCGGCTGTCTTTTTGAATCACAAACTCCCGACTGCTCTGAACTCCGGTTCCGGGAAGTCTCTGGGGACCCAGGTCTCATACGGGGAGAAGCTGGTCTGTCCGGCAGCGGGCGAACTTGAAGGCGGCTTTCCCTCAGAGGTGCTTGCAGCAATTAGCGGGTCACTGAGACCGGCGACTCCGGGCGGAGAATCAGCCATAGCTCCCTGATCCGCCCTTTGATTCCCTGAGACCCCGCCCCACCCAGGCTGCGGCAGAGGCTTTTGCATGTGAATGTACCTAACTGCAGCCCAGCCAGGCAGACCCGGAACTTCCAAGAGAAGGCCCAAGGCCCCGCAGCGGCTTGCATTGCTTCACAGCTGAGCCTCTTCGTGGCTCCTGCTGTGTGGCCTCAGGCAGAGGCTGAATTAGCACCTCCTTAGATCCAGGAGCCACTGTACCCAGTGGTCAGAGGGTACCAGACTGCAACTTCTCAGATCCATAAGGGACACACTCAGGGAGCAGACTCAGTGAGCACCAAAGCCCCACTGAAGCAAGTCTTGCCCCAGAAGGGTGTCTTCAGCACAGAAGTTCTCCCACTTTAGACACAGCTGATTCTCACAGCCAATTGGCCTGGAGGTCAATTCCTCCCAGTGATTCTACAACAACCAAGGCACCAAGAGTGCACCAAGAGTGTCCACCCCAGGTAACTGGGGAGGCTGAGCTACTGGGCCCTACAGGACACCTGGCGCGCAGGGCCACTCTACCAACACAGGGAAGCTGCCAAAATGCGGAGACAAAGAAACAGGTCACAAATGGCAGAAATGGAGGAAAGCAAACGATTGGATATAGAGTTCAAGGCCACGTTTATAAGGTTTTTCAAGAATTTTATGGAAACCGCCGATAAATTTAATGACTCCCTCAATAAGTATAGTGAGACCATGGAGGACATGAAAAAGGACCAACTAGAAATTAAGCATACACTGACTGAAATAAAGAATAATTTACAGAGATCCAGCAGCAGACAAGAGGATCCCAAGAATCAAGTCAAAGATTTGAAATACAAAGAAACAAAAAATACCCAACCGAAAAAGAAAAAAGAAAAGAGATTCCAAAAATATGAAGATAGTGTAAGGAACCTCTGGGACAACTTCAAGCGTACCTACATCAGAATTATAGGGGTACCAGAAGGAGAGAGAGGGCAAGATATTGAAAACCTTTTTGAAGAAATAATGACAGAAAACTTCCCCTACCTGGTGAAAGAAATGGACTTACAAGTCCAGGAAGCGCAGAGAACCCCAAACAAAAGGAATCCAAAGAGGACCACACCAAGACACATCATAATTAAAATGCCAAGAGCAAAAGATAAAGAGAGAATCTTAAAAGCAGCAAGAGAAAGACAGTCAGTTACCTACAAGGGAGTACCCATACGACTGTCAGCTGATTTCTCAACAGAAACCATGCAGGCCAGAAGAGAGTGGCAAGAAATATTCAAAGTGATGAATAGCAAGAACCTGCAACCAAGATTACTTTATCCAGCAAAGCTATCATTCAGAATAGAAGGTCAGATAAAGAGCTTCACGGATAAGAAAAAGCTAAAGGAGTTCATCACCACCAAACCAGCATTATATGAAATGCTGAAAGGTATTCTTTAAGAAGAGGAAGAAGAAAAAGGAACTCTTACCATTTGCCACAGCATGGATGGAACTGGAGAGCGGATAAATACCACATGATCTCACTCATTTGTGGAATATAATGAACAACATAAGCTGATGAACAAGGACTGATCCAGAGACGGAGAGGCATTGATTGGACTGTCGGGACTTGGAGGGAAGGTAGGGGAGGGTGGGGGTAAGGGGGAAAGATCAACCAAAGGACTTATATGCAAGCATATAGGCCTAATCAATGGACATGGACAACGGGGGGGAGAGGGCATGAGCGAGGGGGGGTGGGGGGTGGGGGGGTAGAGGGTAACGTGGGGACAAGGACACATATGTAATATCTTAATCAATAAAAAATATATTAAAAAAAAAGTGAAAACATCTTACATTTTTAATATTTCCTACAACTTTTGTGATATTATACTATGTTAGTACAGTTTTGGTAATATTATATTTAAAATCTTTTTTTCTTGAAATATTGTTTATTGTATGTAAATGGCTAATTATTTTGTATTTACAATCTGGTAATAGATTTATCTTGTATATTGGAAAAAAAAGATCTTATAGATTCTTCTAATTTAGAGCCGAAAAAATAGAGCATCTTTTATGTACATAAGGTGGTTTCTACCTTTTATAAAGTATGTAGCATCTGACTATGCTTTATATCAGCTTTCTAGCCTGAGTTATTATAAGAAATAAACTGACACTTCTGATAATGGTTGGGAACAAGGACTAAGAAGTGAGGTGTTAAGTAATGCATCAAATGTTATTTAAAAATAGATGGGTACTTTCTTTGCTAAACACAACATGGGATAAAAAGAAACCTAAAAAGCAAGAAATAATCTGATAAAAAATTTGTTGATGTCTAGAAATACCAGTCTTTAGAAATAAATGTACTAACAATTATTTAAATGAAATGTATATGCTTTGTGAAACTGGAAGAACTGTAACCTCATTGCCAAATCTTTTATCATATATTTGCATACTAAGGGAAATCGGTGGATCTACATAACTTCACAAGTTTGAGAAACTTTTCATGTCCTAGAAAAATCAATCTATCAGAATTTTTTTCAAATATTAGAAGAAAGGTCTCTACAAAAATTCATTTTTCCATACATTTTCATGTGAAAGGGAACCATGAATTTACCTGATTTATAGCAAATAATTCTTCAGATAGGAAACATTTTATGTACAGCCATCCCACTGGACTCATGATTTCCCTGACACTGGGGTTCTCCCTGAATATATTTTATCTCCCAGAAACCATCCATAGACCATGGTTCCACCAAGAATAATGAGGTCAGGTTACAATGATGGGATAACAGGTGTTATATTGTACTACAAAAGATGTAGTTTCAAAAGATTACACAAATCTTGCTTTTACTCTTGACTAGTCAGGGCTAGCCAAACCACTATAAAATGCCTTTCTATCACCTTGCTACTCCTGATGAATGGTGGCTGCAGGTCTTAGATACTAGTAGACTGACCCCGCCCAGGCTGATGTCACTGCAGAGGCATTTAAGACAACACAGAAGACTGGGTGAGCACTGAGCTCAAGGAAAATATGGGGTTCAAGGCCAAGGAAACCTAATGAATGCTTCACAGGCAGAATGCTTCTGCAGGAACTGATTGAGATCTAAACCCCGTACCCTTCCAAAGTGCTTGAAATCACTTCTAAGTTAACCACAATCCATGAAGGATAATTGGAAGAAAGCACAAAAACAAGACCATCTAATAAAAGAAGAGGCACTGGATTTTACTCAAGGCCAGAGATAAGAAGCACAGCCATGGCATCGCCACAACAGTAAAGGAGATTGGTAATGTAGAAATCAAAGGGCGAAGCAGAGACCACCTGGCAAACGACAGTCTTGCTTAGGATGTGACCATTTCAACAGGATTTCCTATTTTCACTTCCACACAAATAGTTTTAATAGGACGAATTAACATGATCCAGTGGTTTTGAAAATATGAAAATCTCTTTTGTGTGGTTGATGCCTGGCAGCTACTCATACAAATTGAGAGAGAACGGCTTTGAGACACCCGCTTTTGTGTATGGCGGCTCTCAGAACAGCACCTGCACAGAGCAATCACCCGCTAAAAGCCCTGCCGATGATTCTGATATACTGTTAGCCAGGGTCAGAGCCTCAGTTCTTGATTGTGGCTTTCAAACTGTGGCCCTGAGGGGCAAATTATTAGGACCTGCTGATTTATACTGACTTAGTAATTGGCACTTTGGAAGGGTCTGAACAAATGACCTAAAACTCTAATAATAGCTACACTTGGTCAGTGTCAAATGGAAACCCAGCAAAGACCTTGCAGCCTCACATCCTTTAAAATCATCTCCTGGCAACAGGTGTGGGGACCTCACAGAGCAGTGCTGATGATTTGCCTTTCCACAATTTTCATCATCAGCACTATTCACATTGTCTCAAGACCTATGTCTCAATGAGTTTCAGGACTCTTCTTTGCTAGTCACCCTAGGAATTCTGCTGGAATGTGGTCCACAACTATAATTTAAATTGGTGAACATATTTGTATATAACAGAAATGTTGCAATTTCCACTAAATATAGGAGTTTCTATTTTTAGATTTGTTCCTGTCATTTATTAAGCTAATACAAGATACTGTGTTTGCATTTTGGTTTATTCAATTGGGTTGGCTGATAGAATATAATAAAAAAGTTTATATTTGCAGAATGCTTCGTGAATACTAAATAATGATCCCAAGATTAGAGTCCTTAGAGATCCCACAGTCCAACTCTCATTTGCAGACAGGAAACTGCAGTCCAGGGTGACCATGCAAATCCCCCAAGACGACGTGATTCTTTTCATAAGAGATGTGCCAAAGCAGATTTGTGTAAACTAGGTTTAGTTCCATAGTTAGTGCAGGGTGCAGACACCATGTCAGTGTAAGTCAGACATACAACACCTAGCTCTGTGCCATACCAATACGTATGCAGGTATTTTATTAAATGCTTTTACATGGCTAGGACACTCCAGATTATGAAAAACGTGAGCAGGGCACAAGGTAGGGAGTTAGTTGATTTAGGAATTCTCCCACACTCCCCATGCCTAACAGCAGGTGCTTAGGAAAAGCAGGCATCCCCTGGCCGTGCAGAGGGAGTGGGCTTGCTCATGCACCAAGTCCCTGTGCAGGATGCTCGGAGAGTCTCCCTCCAACCCAAGCCTTGGGGCTGAGCGTCAAAACAAGTTCGAAGAAACAACAAACTGTTGAAGAATCCACATGCAAGAGGGCAGGGAACAGTTCTACATGAGTATTGAAGATAAAACAATACTTTACCCACTCTAGACATGAGCTGACAGGCTAGGTAGACAGAAAAGAATTAGTGAATCCATGATACTTATTTAAAGGTGTACCCCACAGAGGCCGGAGAGAACAACTTACCTTTTTATTTCTGAGAAAACAGATGGCCGTGGGCTAGATGCATCTCAAACAAGGTCAATAAACATGGGGTCAAATTGGGTCATCTCATTTTTGCACCTGCAGTTGGAGAGCATGGAAGACCAACTGCATGCACATGCTAAAAAGTGGGGGAGCTTAACAGAAACTTAATAAACTGGCTCCAGTTAGGAAAGTGAACATATCCTTTTAGTTTAGCCTTAACAGTGTCAGGAAGATCAGATTGACACGTGTGCAAAACCCTGTGAAACTCAGGCTACCTATGTGGGATTTCTAGAAAACAGAAACAAACGGAATTTCGAAGGAGAAATGTCTGCCCAGTGCTAACCTTTAATCGTGCCACAAAGTGAGTTGCAACGCTGACTTCAGAGGCAGGGTTCCCAAGGATGATCTCAAAGCGGTACTGCAGGCCCAGCTTGTCGCGCACTTCCTGCAGCCGCTCCTTGGCCAGCATCGCCAGCTGCATGGAGGGCACCCTGATAATGAGCATGTGTCCCCTCCCACTCTTTGTTTTTCCTGGGGAGCTGATGAGGTCATCCATAATGCTGAGTGTTTCTGGTGTGCTGTGGTCGCGGAGGGAGGCCATGGTGGTGAGAGCCATCAGAGCTTCTGAGTACTGCTGGATGAGAAGGTAGCAGCGGACGACCATGCTGTGCAGCCTGGGGTACCTTCAACAGAACACAGGGAGCTAGTACTTGGCCCAGGACTTACTGGGACAGTAAGGTCCATGTGGTTGGAACCCAGACCAACCGTGGTGGGAAGGGGTTAGTGATCAGTGGCAGCACTGAGAATGTTGTCAGCTTATTTCTGAACCTTATGATTATATTAAAGGAAACTGAGATATGAAATATCATGTCTGTAGCATATCAGACATAAAAAGAGTAATTATTATCACTAATTTGAGGCTAGCCCCACAGATAGCAGTATGAATCTTCCCATAAAATGTGCCTTGGTGCTGGAGAACACTTGGAGCTGACTGGAGAAACAGCACCCCCTAGTGGTGCAGCCTCCTGTCACTTAAGCCGGCTCAGTCAAGGGAACCTGGGCAGGAGCAGGGAACCTGGGAAGGAGCAGTTTCCTGGCTTCACTCAATTGCCCTTTAATTACCTCATCACCACCTCACCCCACCTCCTGCCTAGACTGCCTGGTAAAAAGATCACTTTACTAAAATTGGCAGTTTTTACAAGTTCAGAGCAGGCAGAAAATAAATCTCTCATTTATGTGCTAGACCTCAGAAAGCCAGGTCTGCTGGTAAAATGAGTATAAATGGGCAAAGAGGACCCACTTGCAGGCATGAAGAGATGCTGGTCAAGAAAGTAGGTGCAGGCAAAATGAGGGTGAGCCTGTGAACTTTCTTTCTGGTTGCCCGCTGGTGGCACATGTAGCTGGCTAGCAGCTGGGAGGCCAATGAAGGATTTCACCTTTGTCCCACTTTATAATTCTATTTAAAGTAAAACAAGTGGTTCAATGGCCTTCCACAGACAAGTCCAGGGTCAAATACCAACTAGGATGATCAAATGAATTGTGTGTTTTGAAGTACTTTAGAGTTGGAAAGGATCATAGATGCCCTGGGCTGTGACCATTCCACCTTCTCACAGAAGGAGGAGTTAAGGGGCCAAGAGAAATTCAGCTACTTGCCCAAGATCATCCAACTGGTTAGAGACACAGCTGGGACTAGATTCCACTCAGGTCTCTGAAAATATCTTCTTATATTGCAAGGACTTAGTAGTTTGGGGAAAAGAGAGGAAATCGTTCAGTTCAATCAATCCTGGGCCAATCCCTTCAGGTAGTCAATACATTATAGCAATTTTTAGCCTGGGGCAACTGGGTGGAAGAAGTAAGCACAGATGATCCATGTTTGAAGCTTCATGTTTTCTGCTGGGCCATGTAGGAAAGCCAAAGTTAGAACAAATGGTAACTTTGACATGCAAGCATTTCACATTCTGAAAGAAGCATGAACATAGAAGTGAATAGTTTTTCTAATCTGTTAATGTTTACATTAAACTGCAATTGTAGTTTTGTATTACCAATATTGTAATACTAGAGGCCCGGTGCATGAAATTCATGCATGGGGGGAGGGAGGAGGGGGTGTGTGTCCCTCAGCCCAGCCTGCACCCTCTCCAATCTGGGACCCCTCTCACAATCCAGGACTGCTGGCTCCCAACTGCTCGCCTGCCTGCCTGCCTGATTGCCTGGTCACCCCTAACTGCCCTCCCCTGCCAGCCTGGTCACCCCCAACTGCCCTCCCCTGCAGGCCTGGTCACCCCTAACTGCCCTCCCCTGCTGGCTTGGTCACCCCCAACTGCCCTCCCCTACAGGCCTGGTTCCCCCCAATTGCCCTCCCCTACAGGCCTGGTTCCCCCCAACTGCCCTCCCCAGCCAGCCTGGTCACCCCTAACTGCCCTCCTCCGCCAGCCTGGTCACTCCTAACTGCTCTCCCCTGCTGGCCTGGTTGCCCACAACTGCCCTCCCTACTGGCCATCTTGTGGCAGCCATCTTTGACCACATGGGGGTGGCCATCTTGTGTGTTGGAATGATGGTCAATTTGCATATTACCCTTTTATTATATAGGATACATTGATGGGATCATCTACTAAAATATCAGTTATGAAACTCTGAATGATGTTACCAAAAGGAAAGATATATTTCAAGCTGGCAGATGCAATGGGTGGGTGAGAAACACTTGCAGGGGAAGCTCATGGGCTGATTTTGGAGGTCTAAGATCACATTTGCTGTGAAAGGATTAATGTCACAGTGTCAGTTAAGTCTTCTCAAATCCAACAGCTGCAAACATATAAAATCCTACTCCAGGCCTGCTCCTTTTCCTGACATGGCATTTTAGCTTGCTGGATAGGATGCATCCACCTGTCCTCATTTTCATTTCTTTCTTTTTTTCTTAGCACCATTATGAGGCAGGTTGTTACATAGGTGGCTTGTGACCAAACTGAAGCAAATGTTAGGAACTAGAGCTACTGAAATTTACAGTGTGCTCGTCAGACAGAGCCACTTACCCCTGTCATTGGATGATCAGAGAGAGTATTGTGGAGGGCAAGGAGGGACCTGTATTAGGTTAGGCAAATTCTAATGCCTCTACCTACTCTTTGAGCCCATGATTCAAGATCATAGAGGCAAAAAAATAGGAAAGCCCTTTACTCTTACAGAGTTTGATCTGGAATTGAGGAATAAAAAGAAGACAGAAGAGTCAGAAGAGTCATGTCCTTAATTCCCAAGGTCAGGGGCTGGAGAACGTGCAGAAGGAACTGAACTCACTTAAATGATCTGATTGCTCCTTAATTTTCTCCAGTCTACACTCCAAATGTCTCGTAGTAAAGTTTAGTTTTTACCAGGTCATCTAAGGGTACTTCCTATGGTGGACAGAGGAGAAAAAGGGGGAAATGTGGGGGGTATGGTGGGAGAGGCCAGACCTCAGAGGAATGGTCTTTAGTAAGTAGATCCCTTTCTGCCCGAGCAGTGAAGCATGCTTGGGAGACGATTCAGGGCATGGAAAGTGGTTCTAAGTCCCACTTCGAGTCGCTAGTTTCCTTTGTGGGTCTCAGATGATCATAGAAAACCCACATGAGTAGAAGGTCATCTAAGGAAAGGCTATTTTTATTCTGCTGCCACTTGTCAACCACCCAGCCTGGGCTCCACCAAACTCTCGGTGACATTGACACAGGACTTCTGGCTATTTTAGACATGCAAGTTCAGCTGAAGAAAAGGTTGAAGACTTTCATTTACCTCTCCAGGAGAGTGTTCACCATTTTTTCAAAAGTCTCATCGCACCTCAGAAGTGGGCTTGTGATCCCCCACTGCAGAGACTTACTGTACTCATTCAGGCCAAAGTACAGCTTTTCCTCGCAGCTCATGTCCTCCTGGTTCAAAATACAGAGCAAAACCCAGTGAGGACAGGGCACAATGGGTCTTGTGTTTTAGCGGGGGAAACTGTGTAATAGGTTATTTCCTGGAAGGTTACAAAATGTGAATAAACAAGTGGGACTACAGCAAACTAAAAAGCTTTGCACAGCAAAGGAAACCAGCAACAAAATGAAAAGGCAACCTATGAAATGAAAGAAAATGTTTGCAAATCATACATCCGGTGTGTGGGTTCTTTATATTCAAGAAATATAAAGAACCCACACAACTCAATACTGAAAAAAATACCAATCCAATTAAAACATGAATAGAATAGACATTTCTTCTAAAGAAAATCTACAGATGACTCTCAAGTATAATTATCATGTGATACATTAGTTTCTCAGACCTTATTCATCTGATATGGCTAAAAGTTTGTGTCCTTTTACCAACCTCTCCCTGTTCCCCCCTCCCAGCCCCTGGCAAGCACTATTCGACTCTGTTTTTACGGTTTTGACCTTTTTAAAATTTATTTTAGATTCCACATATAGGTGATACAAGACACTATTTGTCTTTCTCTAACTTATTTCACTTAGTGCAATGCCCTCAAAGTCCATCCATGTTGTTGCAAATGGCAGTATGTCTCTCTTTTTCATGGCTGAATAATATTCCTATATATACAGATATGTGTATATGTAAATACATACATATACACGGGGTGGGGGTTGTGGTGATGGATGTCAACTAGACTTACTATGGCAATCATTTCACAAAACAGTATATACAAATACCGAATCATTATGTTGTGCACCTGAAACTAATATAATGTTATATGTCAATTATAGCTCTGAAAAATGCCGATGTTTTCTCCTCTGTGGCCCTGCCCAAGCTGTCTGCTGCTGGGAGCGCCTGGTCTATCCTTTCTCAGTTTCAGGGCCTATCCCCAGTGCTGTCTCCTCCATGTCTCCTTTCCTGGGGTTCCCCAATGGATGGGATTTCTACCTCCTTTCAACTCCTAAATAATTTGGTTTTTTGAAATTATCTTATTCTACTTTGTTTTAGTTTTATGACAAATAAAAATTATACAAAAAATGGAGATATAATGGACATATAACATTATATTAGTTTCAGGTTAACAGCCATCACCACACATAATTACAGTTTTTTTCTTGTGCTAAGAACTTTTAAGATCTATTTTCTTTTTTAAAATATATTTTATTGATTTTTTTACAGAGAGGAAGGAAGAGGGATAAAGAGTTAGAAACATCGATGAGAGAGAAACATCGATCAGCTGCCTCCTGCACACTCCCCACTGGGTATGTGCCCACAACCAAGGCACATGCCCTCGACCGGAATCGAACCTGGGACCCTTGAGTCCACAGGCCGACGCTCTGTCCACTAAGCCAAACCAGTAAGGGCTAAGATCTATTTTCTTAGCAACTTTCAAATATGCCATACAGTATTGTTAACTATAGTCACCATGCTGTACATTACATCTTGGGACTTGTTTATAACTGGAGGTGTGTACTTTTTGACTCCCTTCACTCATTCTGCCTACCCCACAACCCCTGCCTCTGGCAACTGCCAATCTGTTTATCTATGTGTTATTCTCCTTTGGACAACAGTGACTTTGATATATATTTTGCCTTCTCCTATAAATCATGAACTCTGTGTATTCTTGGAAAGATCTACCAAGCCCATATTGTGCTCAATAATATTTTTGAGTTGAATTTCTTTGCTTTTCTCTGACATTCCTTCTTTAGGACATTGGCTTTAGGAGAACTAAAGAAGGTTAATTGTTAGGAGCTTCTTCCCTAAATGTATAAAGTTGTAGCTATAAATTAGATTCAATGTTTCTACCTTTTCTCCATGTTGATCTCAATTTCATAGGAATGATTTTTTTTAAACTTTAGAGTATAATAACTCCCATTTCTCAATTATTTTGAATATAATCCTGGGTATATTATATCTTTAATCCATAAATATTTAACTAGGTATCTCTAAGATAAGACCCCTTTAAAATACAACCACAATACCATTATTAATCCTAAAAATTAACCAAAACCCATAGGAGTGGCTTTTAAGAAAAATTAATTTGAGCCTGTTTCTCTTATTACTTCATTCAGGAGAAGATACTAATAAAAGGCTGAGACTTTCTATCACTGGTGTGATCTCTCCGGAAGAGGCTGAACCAACAAGGTAAATTAGAAAAGTTCTCTCCCCTGCCCAACAATATATTGAAATGTAACACTTAATAGGAGAACTATCTGTTGGATTAAAAAACTATTTTTCCTTTCATCAGTTCTACTGGCAATCCATTCGGTGTCAGGGCAACTTCTTAGGTAGCCAATAGGCGTGCCCTACATTTTAGAGATAAAGGAACTGTGGTTGCCTCTTGCCCATAACTTGCCTACCTTTCAATGGACAGAGCTTGGGTGGAGAAGAGACCAACAAAGCAAAAACACAAAGCAACTGTATGTGATAGTGAACACACTGGGACAGTTCTCAGAAGGGAGCGACTGTTGATGCCAGTGTGATTCCATGGCCTGAGCTTGCTTAACTGTAATATCCAATATGTCAATATTTCAATACAAAGGATCCAAGATGGCTAATCTTTATTTTCAAAAATAAAACTCTTATTTATTTTCATTGATAGTATATTTAGCATACAGCTTGTAGGTCTTTGGGATTGATGCCATAAAATATCAAGACCTGGGTATGTACAATGTTGAGATGGTTCTTCTTAAAACATTAATCTCAATGCATCATCCTCAGTTTCAACCAGAAATCTGTGAGAACTGATGAAAAGGAAAAATCCAATTGGTGGGGGAGCATGAGGGTAACTAAACAGTGATACAGATGAGCAAGACAGAAACATGGCAGAGATGCCACCCAACAGGACAATAAAATTTCCAGGTGTCAGATTGAAATGAATCAGTTAAAGGCACAAAGACAACCCATAATATTGATGACAGTGTCAGATTACATCATTTTTCGGGGGGACAAACGATCTAGGATGGATAATTTTGTATCTGATGATAACCTAAAAAAACCCACCTAATCAAATTTATGTAGGACACTATTCTCTATTTTTAATGTTATGATAACTATAATTATCAGAAGATAAAGCATTATGTTAGTCAGCTTCTTGAATTCTTGTGCTGTATTTTACAAACCCATGACCATATTTTGTTAAAAGATTCGGCCCTGGGGAACTAAGAACATGTATTGGCGGAGACTCACCGTGCTGTCCAGCTGTATCCAGTGAACTTCATTGCTGGAGCTGATTCGTGACTGTTGGGTCTGTAGAGTGTATGGGAAGGAGCTAACCTGGAGCACCAAGAGGTTAAAAGCTTCTAGAACTTCTCTGCAATTAATGACTCTATCAGCCAATCCATGGCTAGGTTCACCATGTGACAAAGAACCCGAAATGACACTGTAAAGATATTGAAAGTCATATTAAAACATCCTAATCAGACTGATTAGATGCAGAAGCTGACATCAAAATGGAGGTAACTTTTTAGCTCCTTTTTTTTCTTCATTTTAATTGGGAGTAGGAGTAGAAGCAACAAACAATTGATTTGGAAGAGCAAAAAGTGTACTCCTTCTTACCCCTTTCACAAAGGTTTCAGGGATTTTTTTTTTCCTTTTTTCAGTTTGCTCCTGGTCTATATACCTCAATGTGTAAACTCAGTTATCCAAGCCAAGGATATCTAAATCCACAGTGGAGAGGGATCACTTTAGTTTGAAAGCTCACCTGAATGAGGGAGTTTTTCCACCAAAACATGTTTCTTATCACTGTCCAATGGTCTGTATTCCCTAGAGTCGCCTCAAAGCTGCAGGGGTTTCCAGGGTGTTAATACCACTCTCCTTCCTCCCTCAGAGTTGCTAGACCAGCGATTTTCAACCAGCGTGCCACAAGAATTTTAAAAACATGCAATACCTGACTATTTAGTCAGGGGCACTGACTTCTTTTCCTTTAGATTGTCAAGTAAAAAAATGACAACAGCCTACACAACAACAGTCATTCAGGATGAATGAATCAAAATTATACCTATTCTTTTTGTCAGATCAGCAAAAAAATATTTTTGAGGTGCTGCAGAGTTTTAGTAATTAGTTTATGTGTGCCATGAGATGAAAAAGGTTGAAAATCGGTTTGCTGGACTGTAGGGAGGGCTCCTCTTACCCCTCTGCCCCATGGCCAACATTTTCGTATCTCTGAATCATTTCAGTTGTGTACAATTTGGATTACCAGGTTGCCCTGGAAATCTAGGGAATTAAATGCAGAGAGACCCAATAATTCTCAGAACTATTACCCCAGTTTCAAAGACTAGGTATATAAATAAGGTCAGCGATCTATTTCTGCTTATAGAACACTAGAGGTAACAAAATAGGATGTGGGCAAAATTCCTTTCCTTTTTCCTTCTTCATTCCCTCCCTCCTGCACCCCCCCTGCCCTTTCTCTCCTAGACCTAATAAGATATATAAGGTTACTTATACCTATATATGGCTCTAAATTTTATATTGTGGAGTGCCAAATACATTCTGGCTTCTGAAAAAGCACTTTTGCAATTCTGGCATTTTTAGCACAGACCAAAACACTTCCAGATTCTTAATCTCATTGTGTCCTGAAGAACAGAAAATCTATAAACATTTAGTGGCATTTAGTGCTTGAGGTCTATTTAACCCCTTTAAATTATTTGCCTTATTAATCCATAGGAGCAAAGATACTCTGTACCAGATCATTACTGAAAGTTGGCCCCACCTTTTACTGTCACATTTACTGTTCTTCCATTAATAAGTCCACCCAAAGAGAGGCTATTTTCTTGTTTAAACTGATAAATTGTGGAAGGTCTCAGATCTGCTCTCAGATCATTAAAGTGGCATCTCTACTGCTGTTAATGGTAAGAGGGAAAAGAGAAAGGCAAAGAAAAAGAGAAACAGTAGGAGAGGCAGGAACAGAAGAGAAGGCAAAAAGAAAACAGGAAAAGAACTGGGAGGAGGAATGGTGGTGAGAAGGAAAGCACATGGCCCTTCTGGGAGCTCATTAACCTCAACCTCCTCGTTGTCACGTTTTCTCTGAAGCAGCCAAGTTCCACAATGCTCTTAAGATGGTATTTTTAATAGAAATTTGTAAATTCGCCCACAGTACATTTAAGATAAAGTGATAAGAAAAGTTGAAAGAGCAAGGAAAGGGTAGGAATAAGTTGTACATGAGAAGATGCCAAATAGTAGGGTCCCTGGGTTTTCAAATCATCACCTTTTAAATAATTTATTACATAACTACTGCTGCTGTAGAAGGAATATTGTATTTGCTCACTCTGAAGCAATCACCTCGTTAGTTCCACATGACAGTTGTCATGAACTAGCACAAACAGTGTGTACGGGTTCTGTCTCACTCTTCTCATGAAAACTTCAAACTTGGCTTGAATCTCATTGTCTAGACGAACAACATACTTCTCTGCTCTCTGATAAGCCGTTCCATTTTCCTCCAGACCCAAGTCTACAAGGACACCTGCCAAGAAGAAAAGAGTTATATATAAATGAGGTAAACTTAAGTTCAGTGTCAACTTATATACTGGGTACTAATCACATAGAGAGGTTTGCAGAACAGATATTTTTTCTTTTTTTTTTTTTTCATATTCCCCTCCACAATTTTGAGATGGACATATCAGATTTTCTTTTCTTGAGAATACCACACCCCACACACAAACTCCCACTCCTCCCACAAATGACAGCAGGAAACGATCTAATACATTAAGTAGAAGCAGTTCAATGTAGGAGCCCTCTGTCTATTTAAATATGAGGTGCTGCTGCTAACAGCTAGTACAGGACACTCAAAAAAGTAAAACTTTGGGTTACAGCTCGTGGCCAAATTAATATAATAAGTCTTCCTTACCCCAAATTTAGCAATAAAACATATGTAAGAAAAAAAAAAAAGAAAATAACATGTGAGGTCTAAAGATGCCACAAGTAGATTATGAGCTTTTTAATTTAGTATTTTACTCATTTTTATACAGTGACATTCTGCACAGTATCTAGAGTATGGGAATCCCACAATAAATGCAAAATTATGTACCAAATTAATAAAATGAACTAAATTACCCACTATTAATATATTCTCAAAATGTTAGAACTTAATGAAACTTCAGTACTGTATCACTATTTCTGTCTATAATAAAATTACTTCTACATGTAAACATCTAAAATAGTTTTAAGCACACGAAACTGTTCTTGGTATAATTAAAACACCAATTCCTCCTTTAAAATGAAGAGACAAAGTGGTAACTATATGAGAAGAAGGATGTGTTAACTAATCTTAGTGTGATAAATATATATTTAAAAAAACATGTATCAAATCATCACAATGTACACCTTAAATTTACACAATGTTATTTGTCAATTATAGCTCAATAAAGCTAGGGGAAAAACGCAAACAAAATAAGGGCACACAACCCTCCACCCCCCAGACACTTAGCTGCATGGAGGGCAAGTGAAGCCCTCTGAGATGAGAGCCTGGTGACTCAAGCCCATGGCCCTACAAGCAGGAGAAGGAATCAGAAGGTTGATTTGGGGGTAGATATGCCACATTTGGGGGTTAGATGTGGTCCTTGAGGACCAGCCCTCATTTCAGGGGCTGAAGGATATCTATTTAGAATCTAGTATCAGTCTCACCTTCTAGCCTCAACTGTGTGAAAAAAAATTAAGAATATAATTTAAAAAATAAAACAAAGAGACTTGAATTAATTGTTGACTTAGTTTTATTTAACTAACTTTTCTTTTAATATAAAGCCAGCTTAATTAACAACCATGTGCAATTAACATCTAGATGCTATAATATAAATAGTTCTAACTGGTATTTTTTAGAATTAGGACAAAGGTGTTACCACATGAAAAATTTGTCCCATAAGAAAAGGTGGACTAAAACCAAGATGGCGGCATAGGTAAACACCGGAGATTGCTGCTTAGCACAACCACTTCAAGAATACAACTAAAAGACGGAACGGACATCATCCAGAACCACAGGAAGGCTGGCTGAGTGGAAATTCTACAACTAGAAGGAAAGAGAAAAGCATACCGAGACTCAGAGGAGGAGCGGTGCGGAAGTAAAGTACAGAGGTAAGAAGGCGCGCACGGAGAGGGCTGGCGGCTGAGGACACGGTTGTCTTTTTCAATCGGTAGGGAGTCTCAAGCTCTGAGCTCCAGTTCCAGGCGAGTCTCTGGGGACCCAGACTCAAACAGGAGAAACTGGACTGTCTGGCATCGGTCAGAACTCGAGGGCAGCTTTCTCTCGGAGGTGCTTGCAGCGATTGTCAGGACACTGAGAAGTGGGGCCTCTGAGGGCAGCCATAGCTGCTTGCCCGCCCTGTTGATCCCCTGGGACCCCCGCCCCGCCCAAGCTGTGCGCCGTCTTTTGCATATGAAAGGCCTGGCCCTTTGCAATCTGAAAATTACCTAACAAACTTGCAGCTGGCCCAAGGCCCCAGGGCAACTTGCATTGCTTCACAGCTGAGCTCATGCTGGGTAGCCTCAGGCAGAGGCTAGATTAGCACCTCCTTAGAGATCCAGGAGCCAGTGTGCCTGGTGTTCAGAGTGGGACCATCCAGATTGCAGCTCCTCAGATCCATAAAGGACACACTCAGGGGGCAGACTCAGTGAGCACCAAAGCCCCACTGAAGCAAGTCTTGCCCCGGAGGGGTGTCTCCAGCACAGAAGTTCTCCCACTGCAGACACAGCTGATTCTCAGAGCCAATTGGCCTGGAGGTCAATTCCTCCCAGTGATACTGACAACAATCAAGGCTTAACTACAGCAAGACTGTGCACAAAGCCCACAAGGGGATACACCAAGAGTGTCCACCTCAGGTAATTGTGGAGGCTGAGCCACTGGGCCCTATAGGACACCTAGCACAGAAAGCCACTCTATGAACACAGAGAAGCATAAAAAATGCATAGACAAAGAAACAGGACACAAATGACAGAAATGGAGGAAAGAAAACTACTGGATATAGAGTTCAAAACCACACTTTTAAGGTTTTTCAAGAACTTACTAGAAACCGCCGATAAATTTAGTAAAACCCTCAAAAAGTCTGGTGAGACCGCCGATAAATGTAGTGAGACCCTCAGGAAATCTAGTGAGACCCTCGAGGTTATGAAAAAGGACCAACTAGAAATTAGCATACACTGACTGAAATAAAGAATATTATGCAGCGTTCCAACAGCAGACTAGAGGATTGCAAGAATCAAGTCAAAGATTTGAAATGCGAAGAAGCAAAAAACACCCAACCGGAAAAGCAAAATGAAAAAAGAATCCAAAAATACGAAGATAGTGTAAGGAGCCTCTGGGACAGCTTCAAGCGTACCAAACATCCGAATTATAGGGGTGCCACAAGAAGGGAGAGAGAGCAAGATATTGAAAACCTATTTGAAGAAATAATGACAGAAAACTTCTCCTACCTGGTGAAAGAAATAGACTTACAAGTCCAGGAAGTGCAGAGAACCCCAAACAAAAGGAATCCAAAGAGGACCACACCAAGACACATCATAATTAAAATGCCAAGGACAAAAGACAAAGAGAGAATCTTAAAAGCAGCAAGAGAAAAAAAGTCAGTTACCTACAAGGGAGTACCCATTGTACGACTGTCAGCTGATTTCTCAACAGAAACTATGCAGGCCAGAAGGGAGTGGCAAGAAATATTCAAAGTGATGAATACCAAGAACCTACAACCAAGATTACTTTACCCAGCAAAGCTTACATTCAGAATTGAAGGTCAGATAAAGAGCTTCACAGATAAGAAAAAGTTAAAGGAGTTCATCACCACCAAACCAGTATTATATGAAATGCTGAAAGGTATCCTTTAAGAAGAGGAAGAAGAAGAAAAAGGTAAAGATACAAATTATGAACAACAAACACACATCTATCAACAAGTGAATCTAAAAATCAAGTGAATAAATAATCTGATGAACAGAATGAACTGGTGATTATAATAGAATCAGGGGCATAGAAAGGGAGTGGACTGACTATTCTTGGGGGGGAAAGGGGTGTGGGGGATGCGGGAAGAGACTGGACAAAAATCATGCACCTATGGATGAGCACAGGGGGGGGCAGTGAGGGTGGAGGAGGGGGGTAGGAACCCGGTGGAGGGGAGCTATGGGGGGAAAAAAGAGGAACAACTGTAATAATCTGAACAATAAAGATTTAATTAAAAAAAGAAAAAGAAAAGGTGAACAGAGGTAATTTTGCTTTCAAACATTTTTCATTAGAAGACTTTCCTCAGAGATTGTTTTCAGTTTCCACCCAAGTGTAGTCAAATGTTGTATTTCCAAAAGCAAGCAAACATTTAATTTTGCAGGCATTCTGATTTTTTAAAAAGCGAATTGCTTTTAAAACTTATCCAGCATTCAATAGTGACTTAGCATCTAGTCTGTAGCAGGTATTGTGCTAGGCCTAGGAATATAGAGGACAGCAGGCCAAAGATCTTAATCTAATGAAGCTTATGGCGGAGAAGATGGATAATTCTGACAGGTGTGAAGTAGTATTTCATTGTGATTTTGATTTCCATTTCTCCCATTGGCTAATAATACTGAGTATCTTTTCATGTGTTTATTGGCCATCTGTATGTCATTTTTGGATAAATAACTTCAGATTCTTTACCCATTATCTTAATTAGGCTGTATGTCTTTTTATTATTGAATTATAATGAGACTTTAGATATTGTACATGTAAGTCCCTTATCAGAGATATGATTCAGAAATAATTTCTCCCATTTTGTATATTCTCTTTTCACTTTCTTGATAGTATCCTTTCAAATATTTTTAATTTCAATGGTGTCCAGTTTTTTATTGTTTGTGCTTTGGAGTTGTATATAAGAAACCATTGCTTAATCTAAAATCACAAAGATTTCTTCTAAGAATTTTATAGTTTTAGCTCTTACATTAGGTCTTTGACCTATTTTCAGTTACTTTTTGTTTGTGAGGTATGGAGTCAACTTCATTCCTTTGCATATGGATATCCAGTTGTCCCAGCACTATTTTTTGAAAAGGTTATTCTTTCCCAATTGAATGGTCTTGGCACCATGGTTGAAATTCAGTTGATCATAAGTAGGAGGGTTTATTTCTGGACTTTCTCAGTTTTATCCCATTGATCTATATGTCTATTCTTATGCTGGTACCACACTACTGTGATTACCATAATTTTGTACTAAGTTTTGAAATGGAGAAATGAAAGTCTTACAACTTTGCTCTTCTTTTTCAATACTTTTCTGGGTACTCAGGGTCCCATCAATTTCCATATGAATTTTAGGACCAGCTTGTCAATTTCTGCAAAGTAGCCAGTTGGGCTTTTGATAGAAAATGCACAGAATCTATAGACCAATTTGGGGACTACTGCTATCATAAAATATTAATTAGTCTTCAATTCATGAACATAGGGTATCTTTCCATTTATTTAGATCTTCTTTAGTTTTTTTTCAACAATGTTTTCTGGTTTTCAAAGTGTAGTTAACAGTTCTTTTGTCA